ACAAGCAGCGGATCGGGGGAGAGGTATAGGTCCTGGAGCAGGGTGCAGAGAGGATTGAAGAAGTGATAAACAGCATTCAGAGGAAACGAGTTGGCCGACAATGCCGAAGCGTGGTGGAAGGCCTGGTCAGCTGCACAGATGGAGAAGGACAGACGAGAATTGAAGGCTTACTTCTCCCCTCCACCCGAACGCCATAACACGGTCTCGCAATCGTCGGGTCACCTTCCGTTCGAACGACTCCATAAATTGTCCCCTTCAATGATCCGCCTTCGCCAGCTATGCCTGCCTGACAGTCTTCATCAGGCCCAGCCCCCAAGCCTCAATACCTGCACCTGCTCATACTCATGGCCCCTTTCCCTTCCCTTCTTATGGTGCGTTGCAATTATACCCTCCCACACACCTAAGCACACATCAGCCCCAGCCGTCCGCCCAGACAGCACAAAATTGAATCTCCAGACCGGCTCCATGAAGTCCCCACCTGTTCATGCCCATGGCCTTCTCCTGCAGCGCAATGATAACCTGCTCCAGGTAGTGCAGCGACAAGTTGATGTACTTGGCCTCGCGCAGGGTGGTGCCGTCCACGCCCGTCTTGGACACGCGCTCGGAGCCCGCAAGATCCACCAGGTTCAATTTGGATCGCCGAACCACGTCCTCACCCACCTGGGGTCGGGTCGGGTCGGTGGGCAGGGAGACGCAGGATTGGATGTGGGGGTGGGTGAGGAGCGCGGGGAGGAGGGGAGAGGGGAGAGGAGGAGGTCTGTTGTTGTGTACATGCGCGTCACAGGTCTTCGCTTTAGCAAACGCAACCTGCCTACGGCACCAATTCACACAGCCCCGCGTGCCATATAGCTCATGTGTGCTGTGAAGGCCCTCCGCCGGGGAAGCTGTGCAGCCCAGGTACACACACACACACGCGCCTCCCGTTAATATTTGCAAATCCCCTGTTCCCTGGGGCCCCTGGCGACCCAGCAGTCCTTAGCCTCTACCCTAGCATGATGTAGGCCGCGGTCTGCATTCCCTTCCACCCCAATCCAACCTTTCGCCCCTCAATGTGGATTGTGAAAATGCAGTGCGAGCGCGAGGAGGCCATGTTCCTGGGTGTATCGCCGATGGTGCGGTTGTATTCCCCAGTGAAGAACTGCAGCCAAGCGGGAGGGCGAGAGGATATAACAATCAGCTGGCAAGTAGAGGGATGTGGCAGACTCGAGCTCGGGGCGAACGTCCTTGCTGGGTTTACCGACGTCCCTATCCGGCAGTGCCAGCGTAACTCTTGTAACCTGATGCTGCGGCCTTCGCTGGGGAGCAACCACCCTTCATGAAACCTCAAAGCCTGTTCCCTGGAAATCGCCGACGTTCCCACTACCGCCCATGATGCCCTCGATGTGGGAACCCCTCAGTCAATCAGCCCTACCAGGTTCAGCGCCGCCTCCTCGTTGTTTGCCCGGTACATGGGGTAGGACACCGTCCCGTCTTCCGCCTCGCCCAGATGCACCTATATGTCCCAACGACGACGCGAAGTGCAGGTGACGATGACTCGCGCCAGTAGCAAAGACGATTAGCAGTGTGAGATGGGTGCGGCATATGGTTACCTGCACAAGTGCAGCATACCAGCCTGCAGCGCTGCAGCGCCGGACACCGCCGGGCTGCCGGCGGGCTTGCGGAGCAGCAACAGCACATCTGGCCACATCCACATGCGAAGTACGCTGCATCAATCCGCAGTCACACTGCCCCTCCACCTTCCACCTGAACCCCGACCCGCCCCAACCCCTGCTGGCGGCTACAGGCATTGTAGCTACCCCGTCATCAGGGTCCGACGATCCTTCTCCGTCCGCAGCTTCCGCGACTCCAGGCTTAACGACCCACAGTCATCCCAGTCCAGCCCAGCCCAGCCCAGGTAAGACCCACATCGCGAGGTGAGAACTTCTGACCCATCCCTGAGGGGTCTGTGTCGTAGCCACTGCACCCATCATCACCTGTTGCAGGTCCTCCATGGCTTTGATTTCCCGCCCAGCGTCCAGCAAGTCGTAACCCTCATTGTTGTAGATTCCCAGATAGGAGATATGAACCTGGGTTTCCAGGACCGGCGGTTTAGGTAAGCAGCCAGATCCGGGCGAGTTTGGCCTGAGGTACCCGGGCGGAATTGGGTTGAGGAAGCCGAGTACACAAACTTGCCATGGACGCTACAAGGCCGTGGCGTACTCGGGGATAACGAAATCCTTTTACCCGAGGGCCAACAAGTCCTACGAAGGCAGCTGGCGCAAAAGCTGGGGGCACGGGGGAAAGCCTTACCGTGAACTGCTGGTCGGAGCGCTTTGAGATCTCGCTGAAGATGGCGGAAATGCACCTGCAGGAATTGGCGTGAAGGCAAAGACTCTGTCAACTCAACCCATCACGCAAGCCCACACTTAGCCGTGTCGTACCCGAACACACAACGAAACCGGTCTCATGGCATCTCTGACAGCATGTGCGTATGTCAGTGCAACACAGCGTCCAACCTGCGACGTCACCTGGGCTGAAGGTGCCAGTCAGCAAGTCAACGCACCGTGGAATGATACCGCGGTCCACGTAGCGCTCGGGCCCACCGGTGATCGTGAAGGTCTTCCCGGACCCGGTTTGACCATAGGCGAAGATTGTACCATTATACCCCTCCATCGCCCCCGTAACCACCGGTCGCGCCACGCGTTCGAAAACCTGAATGTTACTCGTGTGGTCCATGTCATGCCGTTGCAAAGCTTTCAGGAAATGATATCTCACACAGAGCAAATGATACTCGCAATCCTTGCATTTAAATAGTATTATTGACCTACCTCATCCTGCTTTGCCTCCGCTGTGAGAATACCATTAAATCGGAACTCGAAGTGCTCACGCTGGTTGTTCACAAGTCTAGCTGATTCATTCCTTGGTATAATAAACTCAATCTTATTTTCGCTCGTGTCAACTACTAATCGCGGTGATGGCCTGCGCACTGGCTTAATACGCACATAAATGTCAATACCCGAAACCTCTGGGCCGGGTGCCATGGTCACGGCATGCTCTTTCGCAACATCAAGGGCATGTTGCGGCAGCTGAAGGGTCAAAGTCGTATGGCTCTGAAGTACGACTACCTTAGTGAGACAATAGAGCTTCATCACGCTATCCTGACCCATCTCACTTATGTGTTCAGAGCTTTATTTGTCATACACACGTTTCTATTGTAGAGATTCACATAGCCTAGATAAGCAAAACACAATATGCTTACGAGCCGTCCGATGTGGGTTTAAATTCGCCGCTTCTCTGGACATTGTCTTCCCGCACTTGCAGCATCCGATATCCAACCACCCATGATTAGGCATTTAGAAAGCCATACTTCTTTTACCGAACGGTCGCTGTACGTTCACCACCTTCCGGCTTTGTAGGACACTGGTGGATGCGCTCCAAGGATATGCCAGGGCCTGGGAAGTCAATTGGCCCCGATGGTGCGCACAATATGCCTTACTATTCCTTTCTATCTATGATTGCTGTGTGCTTTATTACTCAGCGTCGCCGCGCAACGCGTGGGCCCCGTCACCTCGCCTACCGTTACATACATAAGAACAACCTCTAACCCAATTTCCCATTTGAGGATCAACGACACCGTCCCTTATCCCTCCCCGGCCGGCAGTTGCCTGGAGCTGGGCTCCGGCAGCGGCTACGTGATAACCTCCCTGGCATTGCTGCTGCGGCAGCTGTCCTCCTCATCCCCGGGCTGGACCCCCGTCCGCCGGCGCTACTGCCAGCTGTTGGCGATTGACCACAGCCCCGCTGCGGTGGAAGCTACCCGCCTGACCCTCCAAGCTCATCAGGTGAGATCTAGCCTTCTCAGTCTTCTAGGTCCTCTGTGGGACAGGTTACGCGGTAGCGTTGATGTGATGGTGGGTCCAACTGTAAGGTCCGGTCCCTCAACCTCCTGCTGAAATAGCTGTAGCGGCCATTGAATCCATCTGGACCAGTACGTACCAACTCCTGGAACTTCTGCACACAGCGGCGCAGAGCGTCAGTAATCCCCAGTTCCGGAGGTGCAGGTCCTACCCTACCCGCTCTGGGCTGTAGGCCGAACACTCTTTTCAGCAACCCGCTAGACACCATCACCTCACATCTTCCAAGGGATGAGCTCGGGCCACATGCGTGCTGTGCACGTGCTGCGCCGTACACTGCATGCGTTTCGATTCGTACATTAGCCCATGAGGGATCGTACAGTGCTGTGCAGGGAGTCGTCCCGAAACCAGCAGTACAACCCAGGAAGCTCCAAGTCCACACGGCTCCGGAAAGCCTGGATGATGCCTGTTTAGGACGCATGTACCGTAGATGAGGATGGAAAAAATACAAGCTGCAGAGGAGAATGGGTGATCGATGTCATACAGTGAAGGAAATACGTGCTGTGGCCTTACGTTACAACAACGATAAAAACAAATACAACAAAAAAGCTACATCCCAACCACGTCATCAGCCTCTGTCGGCTCTTCGCTTCTCACCGGGTAGCGCCGACCCGAAATTGACTGGCTGTGCAGCACCAAGGGCGGGTTGAGCCAACTGCCGTCCCTTCCCCCGCCTGAACGCCTCCAGGTCGTGCACCAGCGTCACTCCCAGGTACGAGTTCCTGGGTAGAAAGGTAGAAGTATGGAGTACGGCTTATACGGCATACGATGATAGTAATGATAATAACGGTAATAACAGATGACTAGGTAACATGTCCTATTCCCAGGTACGGCCTACCGGGTACAATTGGCAGAACCAGCCGTGATCAGACCTTTGGCCGAGAGGAAAGGCGTGCACCCGCACCCAAATCCACTCCATGACCACCTCTGCCTCCCTCCTCCGATACCCCAAAAACTCCCCACCACCACCGGAATGTCCCCACCTGTAATGGCTTTCCCTGCTGCCATCCTTGCTGGCCAGAAACCAGTAGTCCGGACTGTCAGCCTCCGAAACCACACCCCGCACGCGCTCCTGCTCCGAAGGATCCGGCGGCCGGGCGTCCAGGGGCTGCCCATTACGCATCATAATGGTGTGTTCCAGCATCCGCCGCTCCAGACACCTGCGATGACCATTGGGCAGCAAAGGGCCGTTCGGGCCACTATTAGGCCACGTACCAATTGCGAAGAGTGAGGCAATGGGAAAGTGCATCAAACATTCGTCAGTCCTATAGGGCTGTCCCGCACATGCATAGCCATCACCACTCATGTATAGCGGCGGTCTGTGCGCCCCCACACTGTAGACCACCCCCCAACCCCCCGGGTCCCATCCCACCCTAATGTGCCACATGAATCCGAGACAAGATCCCCCACATTCTCCGACCGAACCAGCCCAGCTAGTGTAGAGTACCCCTACCCCCCTTTCCCTAACCTGCACTGGTAGAACACGACGGTGAGTTTGTCCACCAACACCGCCTGCGATAACCCAGGTGGTCCCGTATGTGGAGGAGGTTGTCTGACAGGCGAGTGGTGGGGTTGTTGTGGCGGTTGTTGTTTGGGGGAAGGCTGATCCCCAGTGCTGGGCTCGCGAGGTTCCCACACCCGCACCTGCACCACCTCAGTCATAAACACCCACTGCCATCGTACATACACCACCACATCACCTGCATGCAGTGGCCCGGCCCTGACTGGCCCGGCCATAAACCCCTTTCCCTTCGAAGCAGCAGCAGGTGGTGGCAGTGGTTGGCGAAGGCGGGGGCAGGGTATGCGACATTACCCACCTGTTCATCGGAATCCTGGACTAACTTGGCACTCTCCTCCCTGGGCGGGGAGAGGGCAGGGAGTTACTGGTGGGAGAGCAAACTGCGCGGGTACGGAAGACACACTGAAGGGTCCATGAGAGGATGTCCATGATACGGCATGATAGTGCAGCGTAACGCGCAGTTTGCAGCGCACCCAGAAGGGACTGCGCCATCCTCCACTGCGCCATCCTACCTGCCATTTTCCTGCCACACACCTGCAAATGGCGTTCAGACGATCTAGCTGCTCCGGCGTCAGTCGGGCCTTATCATGCAGCGCCCCTAGAGAGGTCTTGGGCCACTTCGAACCGGAGTACTCGGCGGGTAGGCCCTCCACGGTGTCGTTGAGGGACTGCTTCAGGTACATGAGAGCCGGAGGGAAGCCGCTGAGGGGCAGGAGGCCGGGGCCCGGGTAACGCGGAGCGAGAGCCAGGGAGGGGGCCCGCCGTGTACGGGGCAATAGGGCGGCATCCAGGAAGAGGTTCAGGGGAGTCCAAAGCGGGGTGGGGAGCTGCCCTAGGGCAGCCTGGGTGGGTTGGGGGTTCGTGGTTGGTTATGCATTGCGGGTGCATAGGCGTGGGAGGAGGAGTACGTGGCAACAGGGGGAAAGCGGGTAAGGTGGTAACAGGGTGTGCGATGACACGTCTCCAGTCACACAAAACGCAGCAAGAGCTACTGGTTGGCTCGGCTTGGGTTGGGATGTTGGGGCGGAGGGCCGTGGGTGGGATGCGGTGCACCGCTGAAGGCAGCTGAATGCGGGCCATAGGTGTAGGTTGCCAGGCTGTGTGTCTTAGGGGGGAACATGTTTACAAGGCGTGGGGAAGGCCAACCTAAGGATTATGGGCCCAGCTGGGTTGTGGCCTTGGTGCCGGTGCATGGTGCACGTGTGACCCAGCTTTATTGCGTAAGGCCCACAGGGTAGGACAAGGGCGGATGTGGTTACGTGTTATGGAGCATCGGCACGGGACACGGTGCAGCACAGCTCGGTTAGGCTTGCCATGTAGGTACATTTGGTTTCCTGCCACAGTAAAGGTGCCCTGACTAACGCCGCAGGGCGCGTAACGACAAGAGAATTTGCATGGGACAATAAAATACGGGATGCGGGTACGAAGAAGACGCAGCCGTATTTGCAACTGATGCGATATGAAATGTCGAGAAGCAGCTGCCAAATGCTGGAGAAGTACTGAATAGCTAACGAGCGCTCGGGTCAGATCAGACACACCTGTATGCCAGGGTAAGCACACCATTCCAGCTCACGAAAAAAGCCATCGGTCGCAGCAAAGATGGAGAAGTTTGGCTTATGAGATATTCTATCTGGCTCTTAGCCGGTAAGGCTGCGACTTCAGCGCCCTCATGGACTCCAGCGAATGTGGACATCCTAATGCGCGAGCTAAGCAACGTGCATTACGCAGCTTACAAAATGGTCTTGTTGAGCAGGAGGCTCTTTCGAATCTTTTTGTATCAAGCGGAAATTGTGCTGCTGGCGTTAAACGACTGGGTCCACGACAGACGGATCTTTGAAAGACACCTTTCTTCTGCAGATAGGTAGGTAGTCAAGGTAAGAACCCCGTACTGCATTCCATAAGCTTTGATATGTATTAAATTAGCAAGGTTATGTTGCATGGTTGTGTGTAAGAGTGGCGTGCGGCCGCGAATGGGCACATCTGCCGCACATATGGCGCGCTGCATTAGCACCTCGTACATACGTGACATTGCTAGTGATGCAATGCCGGATAAAGTTACAGCGGTATGCAGTAAAGCTTGAACGTGCTGACGGCAGCAGGCTCACTTCAAAACGTTTTTGACCTGCATACCACTGGGCAACAACAACGTCCACAGATGGAATGCGGGACCAAACTGCTAATGTTAAACTTGATATGCAACTGCTTTCCCCGACAACAACTTTTGCATGCCCTGCACATCCGGCCTCAAAACCTTGGCTTAAAGCTTACCAGTGCCTTACCGTACTGGGGGTTGTCTTCTCAGGAATACCAAGACATACGGCAAAATATGGGAGGTTGGCCAAGCTCTAGAGAATCTTGGATAACTTCCTCGTTGCGAAACTTAAAACTGACGAAACACCTCACAGCCAACAGATCCTGCGTCCAAGCGGAGCGCCAACATAAAAACCGACGCAACGTTCTAACGCCCCAAGCGGCTGGAACAACAAGGAATACAGACACTGGCAAAGAACACGCTTCGGTTTCACTAAAAACGACAGGAGGAATTGTTTGCGAAGTTTCCATTCATCCGAGTCGTTCCGTCCAAGACTCTCTGAACATCATTAGGCCTCGCCTCGCACAGGGGCTACCACAAGGCCCAGCTGCCACTCGAACCGATTTCCGGAACTTCCGTGCGCCCTCAGCCTAACTTGCCACCGAGGAGCACACAAGCCCAAACGGGCTGAACTTGATGCAAACACAGACGCACGTGCAAAGCGAACAAGTGTGCACCCAAACTGTGCACCCAAACAGCGAACACACATATTTTACCGATAACTTTACGGAAGAAAACTCTTTAACCCTCATTTTGCCGGTTCGACTATGTGAGTTCCTTGCCCTCCCTCTTTCTCTCCTCCAGCAGGCCGCTGCACCGCCAGATCTCCAACAGCCTCCGTCCCTCCCTCTATTCGCAGTGCCAGTCACGGCACGCTCTGGAGAAATCATCTTCTCTCGTCTGCACCTAGCAGGCCCCAGATAGCAGGCTCTTAATGTCCACCCGTCAGCCTAAACAGCCCCATAGCCATGTGAATGCTCACCGCCTGCAGACAGCTCACACCGTTTCTGCCCTTCTGCAGCATCATACAAAATTGCCATCTACAACAGAATTCTACTACATAAAATCTTTACACGCCATGGCAACGGCCGGCAGCATGCCTTTCTCGCCTTGCGCCTCAACTCGCCTTCAGCTCCCTTGACCACATATCCATCAAAGCCAACACGGCAGCCACTGCCAGTAACAAAACAAAAGTCATCAGCCAGTCCAATTCAGCAACCAATTAACAAAACGGACAAAAAGATACCCATATGTTCCAACGCAGGCTCTGTCCCGGGTTCAGCTCAACTCCCACCTCAGCCTCTGTACACTCCCTCTCCAGGACCTCCAATGCCGCTGGCTCGAGCCACGGTCATCTTCTCCACTTTAACTCCCTGTCCCTCCCTTCCCCTCCCAGTGCCCTCTTGCCGCTTGCCAGCTGCTCACTGCATCCGCGGATCCTGCTCATCTTCATCAATTGAAAACATCTCCCCGGCGCTCATCGCCACTGGGTTCAGTGGCGCCGGGCCGTCAAGGCCAGCGCCATCGGGACTGACCGAGTTGCGCCAGCGGCGGTATCGTACCGCCAGCTTGTCGTACGGCGCCGGGTTCGACCAGGTGTTCCCGCCGCGCAGCAAACGATCCTGTTGCCCCAGCACCAGCACCAGGTCCTCGCCCAACACCTGGCCCGCAACATTCTTCCAGACCTTGTCAATAAACGGCACGTAGCGCATCCACGGCAGGAAGTCTAGGCTCATGCGGTACAGCAGCCGCGTGTGGCCCTTCTTCGACGGCATGCACACATGGAGCTGGTGCAGATGGTTCTTGCATTGCGATGCCGTCACGCCGCGCATAATCTTGCCAGGTTGCGCCAAGCCAATCGTGGACAGAACCATGCAAGGCGGCTGGAAAGCCATGTCGATGGGGTAGGGGTCCCAGTATCCCGATAGTAATTTGTTGGTGTGGAACTTGACGAAGTCAGGCACGGGCCAGCCGCGCGCAAAAGTTGTGGTGTGGGTGAATGGCGCATGCGCCAGATCCAAAAGGTTCTCCATGAGCAGGCCATGCTCCACCGGCACGTCCACCATAATCTCAGCGTGCACTTGAAAGCCCTCCGGTGGGCGTGCGAAGTCGGGGAGCGTCTGACGGGTGTCACATTGAGCAATCGGGGCATGGCGGTTGGTTGCAGCCGTCAGGTCAGAAATAGGAGATACCCAGAGAGTACTATAAGAACAGCATTGAGCGGCGGTGAAGTTGAGGACTGGGCGTCTGTCTACCTTCCCTTCCATGCGGGGAAACCCCACAGCCGCGCACATGTATGTGTACGTATATGTGTATGTGTACGTATATATGTGTATGTGTATGTGTACGTATATATATATATATGTTGCATAGCTGCCGGTGAACTAAGACACCGGAGCCGGCCTTGCATTCAACCCTAAACAACAGAGCGTCGCAGTACTCAGCGCTGCATGCAGCAGCAAAAAGGTCGTCCTCACCTGCGCCGGGAGTCCGTCTCCAGGCCACACCCAGATGAAGCCATCCTTCTCAGCGCAGGGCAGCGCCGATACCCCCACGTTGCGGCAATGCGGCGTGGAGGGCATCTTGGTGCAGTGGCCATCGCCGTTGAACTCCCAGCCGTGGTACGCGCACACAACCTGCCCCTCTACCACCTGCGCGACCGAGCCAATGAACACTATTTAGCAGCAGGATCGAGGAGATTGGCTCCCGAAGTTGGCTCCGCGAGAACCACCATAAGCAAAGCTGTTCAAAGGACATCCACTGACACGCGTGTGAGCAGCCACCGTTCAGTAACGCGCACCTTTCCAAGCGACAACGGGCAGGCCCGATGTGCGCATTCGTCCTTGATGCAAGCGGGCTGCCCCTTCTCGTCGCGGAACAGGACCCAGGGCTCCCCAAACAGCTCGAAGGGAACCAGCGTGTCCTGACCCAGCTTCTGCAAGGAGGTTAACATGTGGCACAAAGAAGAATTTAGTATAATGTCGTGTTGGCAACACAAGTATTGACAAGGAAGACGAGCTGCTTCTTTCGGTTATCTCCTTTCTGACCTCCCTTGGTAGTTACCGCCACCTCAGTTGGGCCTCACCGCTGAAAACTCCGCAGGGTACCAAAAGTTGCGAAGGCCTGGCTCGAAGTCCAAGCTGCTCTCCAGACCGCGACCCCGTCGGATGGCTACCTTGCTGCGACGACCTGGTGGGGCGACAACCGACGTGCCATCGGACGAGCCATTGGGGGTATAGCTCCTGGTAGGGGGCTCCACTGTCACGATGGCCGCGGGGACTGATTCCGCCACTGCCGTAGCAGAAACAGCAGGACGTGCCGCCGACGCCGCGGCAGTGACAGCGACTGGCGCCGCCACCTGGAGCTCCTTCTTGCGATCGCCACCCATCCTTCCGTTTCGCATCCGCTCCAGGCCGACCTACAGAATAAAAGGCAAACCACTCAACAGATCCAACACGCCGAAAAAGCATGTCCCGGGTCCAGCGACATCCGGACAACGTTTCAAAGACAGTTCATATGTACGCACGCGGCGTCCGCCTCCTGGGTGAGCTTCTGCGGGTACTGCAACTGTATCTCACCGCCTCTGCCTTCAGCTCATTCACGCGGTTCAGGTTCTGCTCCACACGTGCTTGCGTGAGCTGAAGCCGCTCCTGCGCCTCCTGCACCTGGCGTTGCAGGACTTGAAGCTGCTCCCGCAAATCTCCCACTGCTGTTCGCTCGCGTGCCTCTTCCGACAAGGCTTCCTCCACCTGGAGGCATAAGGACAATACCGTATAGGCATTATAAGCAATAGAAATACAGCGCGACTAATCGCTGGTCCAGCGCGTACATTAACCGCTGTCGACGAGTCCGGAACAGTCTTATTCGGCATAAGCACTCCGGCCAAGGAAAGAGAGCAAGTGTAGACACATACTACATGTAACACCAAAAACGTGGGAAACGGCTTGTGACCTTACCTTTCGGTTGGCCTCCTCGATCATGGCTAGCGTGGCAGCAGCGTCCTGCTTAGTGACGTACTCAAAGATGCGCTCCCAGTTCTTCCGGCGCTTACGCAGATACTCAAGCTTCTGGCGTGCCTGCCAAGGCTCCAAGCGTCCCGCAAGGCGCTCATTGAGCACTGCCAGCTCCAACAGCTCGTCGAGCTGCCGTGAATCTTTGGTCCGAACACGCACACGCGGAACTGCCTCCAGCCAATCCAGATTTAGCTTATGGATACCACCGAAATGCTTGCCATAACGCCGAAACTTCGCTTCAGGGTCCTCGACGATAGACGGTACAGCCTGTTGCTCAGGCTTGTCTGAAGAAGGCTGCTGTGATACTGACGCATGGACTTTAAAGTCAGCACGGATAGTCCTCTTGCTTATAATGCCCCTGCCTTGGCAGGCGGACGTCCTGCACTGTCTTTGTGCTGGAAGCATTGCGCTATGATCTAATGTCAATAAACGCAAAGCGGTCAATCCTCCTTATCGAGTTTGCAACCTCAGGAAAGCTCTGGCGTGTGGCAAGCAAGCGCCCTGATGAAACAAACAACAGGTAAGCGATCGCACCTAGCCTGAAATGCCTTAAGTGACCCACATGATGGCAGACTGCAAGACCGGTACCGAGCATACACCTGCAAAGAGGAAGGTACCCTCATACAAGGGGTCGTACAACGTATCGTCCTGTTGGGTCGCAGATGACAGATCTGCAATTATTTGTGTGAGGCTATTTTTCTGTAACGTGAGGAAATAATGTAATCGCTTTGTTATGTATCTTGAGGACATCTGCACTTAGCTTGAGGATTAAATTTATTACTTATCGGCTGATCTTCGTTTTGATTTTTTCGTTCCGCATCATCGTTTAAAGCATAACCTGCTGCTACTACTATCTTACCGATTCCGCTGGTCTCCTTCTTATCTTTGGCAATATGCGTGCACCAACAGCGAGTGTTCACCTGCTGTCCAAATGTCTAAAACTTTCTGTTTATTCATACCTTATCAACGCCATGCTAGCTTCTTTACATAGACCTGAAGCTTTACAGGTAATTCTTTGGATCCGAGCTCTTGGGCAATGGGACTGACGCCTTGTATACAAGCATACACGCTTCGACGGATGCAAATTTTGCGCCTGATGCAGCATAATAATATCCTTTATTTATTATATGGGCGATTCCAATTCCAGTCCGGAATTTCTATTCGTGCTTCTAGAGGTGTTCTGATGGTTCGCACCATAGAGAGCGGAACATAGCACCATAGAGACTCGGAAGCCCTGGGCCCTGTTCAGAATCGTTAGGTCAGCTTTGGTATAGTCCTACAGTGGAGGGTGCCATAGCGACATGTTTTCATACGCTCACACCTCTAATGTGTGTTTGTTACATGGTGGTGGGTGCGTTCCCCGTACCTGCAACACGAGCCGAGGGCTCAAGGGCTGCCAGATCGCCTATAAGCACCATCCTACTTCGCACTTCAGACAAAGCAAGTGAAAAGGGATACTAACGACCAAAGGGAACGATAGAGTTGCGGTGGGACCATGTACGTTCCAGCACCCTCGCCAGGCGTTCAGGATCCCATTGCATAGCATCCTTGTCGTACATCGGACAGTCCAGCAAAATGTGCTTCTAATCCTCGATATGGCTATGAGTGCCGCAGAGGGGCATCCTGGCTCCTCCTTGGGTATACAACGCCGACCCTTATGCCCTCCGTTAGCCGCTAATGCCCAACAGCAAAGCCTAAACTGCATGAGCTTGTGAATCGCTGAACGCGGGATAAACATTGTGATATGCGGGAGCACCTCCTATCTGCCCGCTTGCACAGCCGCCAGACCCATCCAATGCTTATACTTCGCCATGCGAATTCCTGGTTGCTTGCTGTCTGGGAAGACCAGTGCTTAGCGGCAGACCAGGGCCTTATCGCGAGATACGAAGCTCGTACGTAGCAGCAGTACGACTGGTACGATTAATAAACATTATGGATGCGGCTTTTTGCTTTCCTGATATGGCCCTCTAATTGGCGGCACTCCGCGGGTTACTCGTTGCCGCGTCCTCCCCCCAGTCACCTACACTACCCTCTGCTTGGAGGATAGCACCGCCGCGGGTTGCGAGCCATGGGCGGAGTTTTGTGCACATGACCCGCAAGCTGCGGCGCCGGCACTGTGCGTGCACCCCGGTGGATCGGCCTTGCGCACCGCCGTCGGGTTGCAGTCGTACCCGCCGCCGCCACCCGCCGACCCGTGCATCCTGAACTCAACGGACCCGTCGTGCAAGTCGTACAAGTACCCGGACAGTGCAGCGCTCGCCAACATCAACACTCTGTGCAACTCGATGCCGGACATGCCGGGATGCGCCATCGCCAGGGCATGTGCCTCGGTGAGCTGCTGAGCCACTGCCTACTGTTCTCAGAGGAGTGATCCCATGTGCGATCCCAAAGTTTTGCCAATGCCAGCTGCTGGTGTCCATTGATGAGCCATTGCGACGTCCCCTGGATGGAAACTTGGGTCCCTGGGCACGGGGGGCTGGGCAGGGATGGGCACGGAGGGGCAGGGATGGGCTCCATCACCTATTGAGGGAAAGGTTTTGTGGGGGATTGTGGGGACACTTAGCCGGCCGGCCGGAGCTAGGACTCAGAAAAACGTTCAGATGTGTACGTGTAAACCACAGAGAAGGTGGCGTATGTACAACTGTACGAACTTGCATCTCCCCTCCCCTCACTCCGCTTGTCCCCCCCCCCCAGGACCGGCGCCGTGTGTCGGACAAGTACTGCCGGCCCTTCGTGTTGCTGGCCACCCTGTGCCATGACATGCCGGGGATGCGGGATGGGTACAGGTCTGGCCGGACATCTAGGCGCGTACACTTTTAACCACTCCCCAATCGGTCCGTGAACTCCAATACCACACCTTCTGGCGATGGCCCGTTCATTAGCCATTCCACTCGTTCATCTACCTCGTGTAGCCCTTGTGGGGCCTCTTTCCATACGTCGTGCCCCAGAAAACATAGAAAACAGAGGAATAGTGCCCCCCGTCCGGCCCCTTCGGGGTTGGAGAGGGACTCTGCGACCTCCTGTCGCAAAACTTGGTGTGCCACAGACCCACACTGTAAACGGACATGTTTCCAAAACCTCACAATCGTTTGAAAACGTGATAGTGTAGGGGTAGCTTCAATAATTTAGCAAACAGGAGGTGATGTGTTGGTCTGGCAGCTCCCACAATTTGTCGCATGAACGATATCTGAAGCTGCACCGCTCCGTCCTTTAGGCATGCCTCGAAGGGCCCCCCCACAAGGTTACTCGCATCACTCCGCCTTCTAAGCCTGACCAAGACCTCAGCTAGCATAAATGGTCCCCACGCTTGACAACCATACAACAGTATTGCTCATACCTGCGTATCGAAACACCTCATCCTCACATCTGGGTTGAACAACTTTGTAACAACTTATCCAATTTTGTACTCAAAACAGACATAGCTGCTCTAGCTGTGTCTAGCTGTGTCAACTGCTGACGGCAGGCCCAAAACGGCCGTTCTGGCCCATACATTAACCCCAGATATCATGCACTATCCTTAGCCGGTATGGCCTCACCAGCCAGCCTGAGCTCGATGCTTGGACAGCACTCCTTGTGTCGCAAAAACGAGGCGTTCACATTTTGACACATTTCGCTGCATCCCAAAATCATCACAGAACATGTCCACAATGTTAAGAAGCTCCCCCATGCGTCCCGGTGTCGTTGCCAGAAGACTCCTTGGCATGGAGGAGGATGGACACTCGCTCAGTTCAACCTCCGGTGCATCCTCTGGCCGTGCCCTGGTGTTAACACCGTCATGCATATCGATGACGTCCGCAAGAGTTTCAATGTAAAGTCCAAACAGCTCGGTTGATAGTGGACAGCATTGTTTCATACCCTGTCTTGACTCATTCACTTTCAGGCTTGCCATTCATCTTGATAACCATTGTAACCTTGTTGTACACCCACATCAGCGACCGCAGCATGGACCCTTCAACCCCTCTCTCTTGCAAATAATGCCACATTATCTCCCACGGCAACTTGTCAAACGCCTTCTCAAAGTCAGTTTGAGCAATGATTAACGGCCACTGTCCAGGTTGGCTATGCCTAGCAGTAGGCTTGGCAAAGAGATTATGTGTGGTACCGAATCCTCTTCTGAAACCTGCTTGGCCTTGGTGCCTAAGTGAGGGTGTCTCCCCGATGCGAGCAAGCCTATCCAGGAGGACCAGTGTGTAACATTTCGCCAAGGCGCCCCCTACTGCTATGCCCCAGTAGTTACTCGGCATGCTGGGGCCCCCCTCCTTGTAAATTGGGGTGAGGACGGTCGTGGGAAGTCCCAGTCGCCTTGATGTGTTCCAAACGCACACGCAGCACCGGAACAAGCTAATTCACTTCCCACTGTCGCCTGCACCTACCATTACTCGACGTGGTGCCTTCCTCTCCTCGAGGCAAATGATAACACACATAGCTGTAACACTCCGACAGCGGTACTCCGACGGCGCTACACTCAACGGCACTACTTCCAAGCCTGGTGCCTTACTGTTAGGCAGCCGGTCAACAGCACGTGTCACTTCCTCCAGCGTGAGGGGGGGGTCTAGGATTTCTACTGCCTTCGCAGTCCTGCCCAAAACCGAGTGGGATGTCCGCCATTCCTGCCCCTCTAAGTATTGCCCAAAGTTAATGAAGTTCAAAAGCCAATTCACCCCCTCGGGGCCTGTCTCCCACACACCTGCGTTTAACAGCACAGCAAAGTGCTCCCTGAAGACCTCGGTATCATCTATCACACAATGCTCCCTCAACTTCCCTCCTAAAGCTCGTCACAAAGCCGACACTTCACCGCAAAATCTCGCATCCTGCCCTCATCATATGCCACCTTTCCATGCCTTTTTGCCCAGTTGCCACCCATCCACGTAGGCAGAAAGCCCCCCATTCCGGACCCGATTTATTATTCACTCGGCCTGGACCCAGCAGGGCCCTACATGCACTGCCGCGTTTACTGACATTCCTGGTTCCACCAAACAGTGCCATGCCAGTACGATGGTGCGAACCTAAGGCCCTCACCATGAATTTGTACCTCTAATGTCCATTCCTCCCGTGCTGAGGCATTACCTGACGTGACAAACGCTTTAATTTTCGACGAAATTTGATAGCTAACCCCTCAATCGCGCGCTCCACTGCCGCCAGCCTGCCAGTAGCCCACTCCATGAACATCGGTAGCCCTCCCACACCTCCTCCCCTTTTTCCTAGAGCTCATGACAGGTAAGTTAGGCAGTCCCAGGCATTAACATCGGCCAAAATTAAAAGGGAGCATAGTTTTCAACTCAGGCGCTTGCACCCCATGGATCAGCAATAATCATATTCCCCTACGGATGCAGAGCTTCCAGCAGCACGAGCCCTCCCAGCAGCAGCAGTTGGATACTCGGTAGGGTAAAGGCCGGTAACTCCTCAGTAATCTTACTGAGGCCCCAACCTATGGCAGATATTCGACCGGTTGGGCCCGGTTACCAATTGGTGACCGGTCGAATATCTGCCATAGGGCCGTAAATCCCTCCTTCCACCCCTCCTCCCTTCCTCCCTCCATACATATCTCCGTCCACCCCTCCCTTCATCCCTCCCTCCAACCTATGGCATAAAAGGGTCGATAACCGACCGGTTAGCTATAACCCAACTGGTCGCTTCAATAGGGTAACCGACATTTCTGTTGGAAATGACCGACACTCAGATACCAGTGAATGGTAACCACAGTAATAGGACCCAACGGGGTTCCGGCGCTTTGTTGGTTTTAACAATTTCAATATAATGACCCGGTGACAGACATCGGCAAACGCTTCGGGAGTTTCGGGTCGTACCGTAATTTCGGATCAAACGCCGTTCTGAAGCTGTCATGCGGCCCGAAAGCCTCAGTCCGCGGTCAATGATGAAGAACAGGTCGCGGGCCATAACCTTTGCTAGTTGTCGTCATATCATTAGCATTAGTCATTGTTGGGCGGACAGCTGCTGTGAACTCAAGAAAGAGACTAAAGCGGACATCGCCTCAGGAGAGCAGCGACGCATTGGAGATGTTCTTCCCAAGAAGAGCTGAAGGCTGAATTATTTAGCAGTCACGAATGCGTGGCCCAATTTTTGGTTGGCTAGTGACACCTAAAATTTATTTGAGGAACACTTTCATGATACAGTAACTTGATGTATTTGAGGTCATTAATACGCGTATTTCATTGATGTCATTTGCACCACGACCGGCTGCTGTTCGTCAATGTTTTACCACCGCCGTATAGTGATGCATGACTACAATGTACAGAGATGACATAGAAGCATGAATCCGAGCTCTTGCATGTAGGAAAACACAGGTAACCGTCGAATTAGGCAAAGTCCGTTGCACCGCTGGAGGAAACTTAGCGCCCGCATACAACGCCCACTGCTGCACTCGCGCTTGCAATGTTACACCTCGTACATCGCGCAACCTCGCCGGCTCCGTTCAAAGCAGCGAACCGGGCTAGCCATAGCGCGCAAATGGGTCGAATCCCTGTACACGTCTGCACGCCCCTCCAAACGTTATGTCAAACTCAGCCCTGGGAACAATGAAACTTGCCTAGATTTATATTTTTGAATGGTTTAATAGGATGCGAATTCCGCGCGAACATGGTGAACAAGGTTATCTAGCGTGTTTCTTCATATACAGCAAGTTGCAATCATAAGATCGTAAAGTTTTTCAAATGTTACGAAGCTCTTCATTATCATAAAACTACATTTGGGCCGAGTCGCGTATGGATCATTATGGTATGAGCTTTAGGATCCATAAGCTGTTTGTGAACTTGGTCCAGGTTTTGAAATTCACCTCTGTACAGCGTATTATAATCAAAGCTAAACATGTATACATGGGCATGGCCATCCTAACATTCAATTACGGTGAGTTTTGTTCCGGCCGGTAACCGATTGGTAGGGTCGGTAGGGTGACCCATCGATGTTTGTTAGTCAAGAGTCTGAGCGCGGCCCAGTACAGTACGGTGTCTCAGGCAGCAAGAACGACCTCATGTCTTCTCACACCCTGCGACTCCGCTTGAAGTCGCATCCTCAATTATCCATGATTTCCCGCCGGGACCACCCTTTCCCTGTTGCATCTCCTCACCTAATATTCTCCTCCCTAAGCAATTCTACCCTGCCCTACATGCGTCCTGCTGCACTAAGGCCTTCATTCAACCAGCCATTCCTAGACAATGTCGGCAAAGAACCCTGACGCTGCTTCATTTTTCGGAACCCGGTCTCCGCCACAGCAACTCACCCTCTACACCGAGTTACTTACCATCACGACTAGGTGCCAGGGTGGTGGCAGCAGCAGACCTCTAATTGACCTCTCAGTACATCGCCTCCGCCTTCCAGACCCCTAACGGCGCAATTCCACCATACACGCAAGACCAGTACTTCACAACACACACTTACGGTCTTGCAGAACACACACACACACACAGCATTCCAAACAGTTTTCCTTCCAATTCCAACTTCCAAAAGCAAAAAATGCGAATAATGGTATGGGGCCAAACATGCCATCAACCCCACGATGCCATCAACCCCACGCCCCACTCCCAGCGTGCAGTCCCCTGCATACGCCACGCGCCAATGCACATAGTACGGGGCACACCGTTTGCCAGACCGTCCTCTGTCTATGAAAGTTTTACCACTTTGCATAGACAGTCTCTGCCTAAGTTGCCTCCGCCTCCACCGCTGCTTGGCGCGGGTGCTGACAGCGCTTGCTCCCGCGCACGACACACGCTCGTATTAGCAGACACGTTTCACGTCGGCCTATGTCGTAATCACACTGCAATCTAAGAAGGTCCGCAGTCACATTCGCGGCCTCCGCTTCCTTACGCGCGGTACAGGCGCAGCAGTGACTGGCTGGGCTTGCGGCACACGGGACAGCGATTGGTGCTGGCAGCATTGGCGCACAGCGCACAAATGGTATGGCCACAGCCCGTGTAAGCCGAATCGACGTCGCGGCTGAAGCAGATCTTGCACTGCCATGCGCCACGTGCGGCCTCTGCCTCCGAGGCGCTGGAGGTGGCCTCGCGCTTGGCCTGCAGCACAGGTTGTGTGGTGGTTCATGTGTGTCGGGATTGTAGATCTGAATACAAATGAGGTGGCGAGCGTGTTCTGTGCGGCCCAGCGATGAGGCCTCGGGCCGCCCACCAGCAGATCTAATGAAATGGCGAAGAATGAAGACTGAATGGCATGGTTGAGTTATGAACGAAACAATATCACAACAACAAGAAGAGGCGGATCGATAAATGCGTTCATAAGCAGTTGGGCCACCCTACCAGCCTGCTCTTTCTTCAACCAACCCTCCTTATCCCAGTCGCCCCGTACCTGCGCCAGCTGGCCTTGCACCTCCGACAGCTGCTCCTGCAGCGCCGCCACCCGCCCCATCAGCTGACCCGCCGCGGGGTCCAGGGGCAGGCCGGCTGCCGCCATCATGTCGCGAACCGCCGCCAACATCTCCTGGGAGCTGACGGGGGCCATGACGCCGCCGCCAGATGACGGCCGCGGTGCCGCCGCCTCTGGGCCGCCGCCGCCGCCGCGAGATAGTACGCTGCTTGGCAGCGGCGCACCGCTGCCGCTGCTAGTGCCGCCGCTGCGGTCGGCAATGGTGGGATGATCCGCTGGCTGGCTGGTAGTGGCGGTGGCGGCGAGGGCGGGGTCGGCGGTAGTAGTGGCGGCCGACGCGGTGTCGCTTGAGGGGCTCCTGGGGATATACAGTGTGGGGACAAGCTGCGAGTAAGGATGCCCGCCATGCCGTGACGCGCAATCAAGCGTCAATGCAGCCTCGCTGTGTGCGGGTGCAGGTGGCCGTGCGCGGCGGTCCTTTACACGTTTCTTTTTTCCTCTTTTAACCCTTCGCTCCTGTAAACCCGGCAAAGCTCTCATCTCCGAAACAATACCGTCTCAGTCTCTCACTGTGGCGGTATTGGTGGTGCCTAACTGCTTTTAACGACATTACACCCAGTCAACTCCCGAAGTCGACAATCTCACCTGAAGCAGAAGACCTGCGTTGAGAGGAGGTGCTGCACCACCCCTGGTTCCACCTCTACCAGTACACGGTGCACCCCGCCACTGGCGGCACCAGCACCAGCAGCGCCACCAGTAGCAGCAGCGGAGTCCGTGGGTGCACAGTGCGCCGCCACGCGACCGTAGCACATGTTGCTGGTTATGGCCAGCGGCACATCCGGCGTCGCTACCGCCCTTCGGGCGGCGGCGGCGGCCGCCGCCGCCGCCGCCGGCACAGCCGCGGCGTTCCGCTGGTAAGCCACCACTTCTCCCGCGCAATAGCGCCGCAGCGGCTTCAGTTGCAGCAACGCCGCGTCCGAGGGCAGTAGCGGCGCGCCGGGGGTGCCCGCCTGCGCCGCCGTCTCCAGGCCCGCGTCGAAGCCGCCTGGCAGTAGCACCGGCTGCAGCTGCTGTAGCTCGCTTGATGGGGTGGTAAACAGCGGCTGCAGCGGCAGCACCACCGGGCTGCCCAGGACGCGACTGACCACGCTGGCCAGTAACCAAGAGACAGGAAGATGCTGTGGCGGCTCCGCAATAAAGATCCGGCCCAATCCAGATCCGGCTCCGAAACCAGGGCTCGATTTGGGGGCCAGACTGCTAATGACCCCAAATGGCGGCGACGGCGCGGCCGCCGAAGGCGGCGGCGCCACCGCGGCTACCTCGACGAAGTCGAACGCGACACGCGATGCCTCCGCCGCGGGGGACAGCGCTGCGCCGGTGGATCGGAGTACCGCAGTGGTGCGCAGACTGCGCACGAATGTGAGGTGCGGCGCGGCGGTGCGCAGCACGGCAGCGACCTCATGGAGTGACCCGTGGGTCGTGATGCCGCGCACCAGCGGCGCATGCGTGCGCAACAACGCATGGCAAGCGCTTACGAAGGCGGGGGAGGCCAGCAGTGCGCGGGCGTCGCGCAGCGTAAGGCCCTGGACGTGCAGGCGGAATGAGCGCAGGAAGCGCGGTGATCTGTGTGATTCCCTTTCCCTTAGTTTCGTCGACATAAATGCCATGAAGGCAGACTACAATACGAGTGTGTATCCCTCACTAAATTGAGCGGCATGCAATTGACATGTGACGGACCGAGGCCAGTCGGGAGATGGATTGACAAGAGGTTCATCGACACATTACCAGACGCGTCCCCCGAGCACGCACAGCGCAACACGCCTCCATACCCACTGTCCCCCCTATCCCATACTCACCACCCTCCCACCCACCTGGATTTCCTCCACGGGCTCCAGAGGATGTCCCGGATCCAGCCGCTCCTCCGCCACATCCGCCAGACGGGGGCAGCCCAGCCACCGTGTCACCGACTCAGATAGGGCGGGGTGCGCAAGGGTCAGAGCACCGGGGTCAAGCCGACCCAACAGCCGGCCCGCACCCGCACCCACGCCGCCGCCCTCACCCACGCTCACGGCGCTGTGCGCAGGAACCAGCCTACGTCCAGGAAGAGCGTTATGTGAGAGTGCGTTTCGGGGGTTGAGGGGGCGGAGAACAAAAAGAGTTACGAAAGCATTGTTTATGTGTTAAGACATATAAACGACGGATTAAGGTAATTCTGAGAAAAAGCAACCGGGAGATGGCGGCCCTAGAGATGGGGTTCGCACCTTCCCCTTACCCTCATGCCTCAACCCCGCGGCCTCCAGGACTCTCATGCACAAAAATGCCCTGACGCATAAACCTCGCGCCGTATACTCCGCTTTTCACGCCCCCTACCCGCTCCTCCACCATCCTCACCCCCTGGATCCCCACCTGCCGTCGGACGACAGCACCAGCAGCCGCCGCTCCCTGCGCGCCGTGGCTAGGTACGTCAAGTCTGCTGCGCTGCCGCCCACCGTCCCCCCGCCGCCGCCAGCACCGCCGCCCGGTCCGTTAGCTGCCCCCGCTCCTCCCAGTGCCGCCACGTGGCTCATCAGCCGGATGACCGCGGCCCGCTGGTTGGGGCTTAGGGGCTGGGGACCCACTGCGGCCGCCAGGGCACGTAAGGATTCCACCAAGTCCTACCGGGCGGGGGAGAGGAGGAGAAAGGGAAGAAAAGGTTGTGAGGTGAGGGGGTGATGGGCGTGCGTTTACGTGAATATTCAAGGACGCTCTGACTGACAGGCGCAGCTCTGCTCGGAATCCTTAGTAACAGAGTCATCGGCAGGTCTTCGGGTGCCATGACCCAGAAGAGCACCATGCGCGCTCTTCGTAGCGGAGGCAGGAGGACGTCCTCAGTGGACCCGGCGGTGTGGTACGGTACGGTATGGTGTCGTACAGAGTCTGACCCCGGCAGGCACGTCCACCACCGCCCTGCCGCCCCTCGTCCTTACTTACCTGCGCGCGCGGCTCGTCCTGCGCCCCCAGGCTCTTGAGTAGCGGCGTGAAGGACGCCAGGGAGGGAGGTACCTCGAATGCAAAGGGCGCGAAGTCCTCCTGGGGGTCCGGTACAGATTGGAGGTACATCAGTTCAGGGGGGGCGGAAAAGGTGGAAGGGATGGAGACGGAAAAGGAGAGCGAAAGGACGCACGAAGCGAGCAGCAGCTGGAGAAGCCTCCCACGCGGATGCTGTGCATGGACCAGCAGCAGGGTTCAGGAAAACGGAGGGGCCGGGGGGAATGCGACAGCAGAGGGCACATAAAAGACACAAAGAAGCGCGGTCCGCCCTAAAGAGAGAGCGGACAAGGGAGCTGTGAGCGCCGGCGGGGGTAGGGGCAAAACCTGACGGCAAGCCTGCACCCCCCTTCATTCCGTACCTTGAGTCGGACGTACAGCCGCCGTGGCGGCGCCAGCAGCGTCCCGCGTGCCACTGGCACAAATGCCACATCACGCAGCTGGGCAGCCTGAAAGCGTTGTTGGAGTTAGGGCAGTTGGCAGTTGGGAAATTGGCAGTTCAAAACAACGCAGGGTAGCCTAGCCCAGGGAGAGAGCGCGCCCCACATGTTTCTGCGGCCCCCCGACAGCATTACATCACTATCGAAGCAAAATCGCCAACCTGCCACTTCCCCCTGGAGAAGTTCGATCTCAAAAGTCTTGAACCATTATTGGCTTTTCCTTTCTTCCTCAGTCCCAAGGATTACATGGCACTGAGTGTCAGCGTACGGCTTACGGTGTACAGCCTACAGCGTACGGCACGCTGACCCTCCGCGCCGGTCTGGATGCACCCACACATCTTCCCCGAAAAGGGATTCAGTCAGATCTTAACACCTACCTTCTGGCCTGTAACGCCCTCCCTGTCGAGGTACGACAGTACGGTACGGAAGGCGTCCTCGACCCCACCCGCCGAGGCAGGCCAGCCGCCCAGCGCCTCCTCCCCGCCGTCCGCGCCCACCTGCGGGTATTATACACACACAGAGACACACATACACACACATCACCATTTCCCCGAACAACGGCGTGTCATGATACAGATGCCGCCGCCGCCGCCCATAACGATCATGCCCCCAAACACGCCCAGACGAATGTTACCCACTCGCCCATGTGCCTAGAACGTGCACCCACTCGCCTCCTGTACCCACCCTGCGCAAGTGAGCCACCACAGCCGCCAGTGGCGGCGGCGACTTGATCCTCAGCTGCCCCTGGCCCAGTGCCGCCGGCACCTGCCGCTCCGCCGCCACCGTTGGCAGCACCGACCACACCAGCGGCCAGTCCGAGGCGGCGGCGGCGTCCGAATACCTAGGGGGGGGGGGCCACACAGGATTACGTATGGTGCGGGGTATTCTGGACCGACTCATGGAACTCGCAGGAAACTTGATTGGGTGTTAACGCGGAAGACGCCTAGGGTTCCGGTTCCACACGGCGCCACGGAGCAGATCTCTCGGTTCTGGAGCACACAACCCGCGAACGGATCCGCCGTTCCAAGAGAACACAAGCTACAGATGAACCGCAGCATAGCAGACCAACATTCCAGGTGGAAAGGAGTCGCTATAGATGGCCTTGACTGCAAATTGCTTATGGTACGGTGGCCGAGTGGTCTAAGGCGTAGGATTAAGGCTCCTATCCGCAAGGGCGCAGGTTCAAATCCTGCCCGTATCATAATATCTTTTCGTAGTTGCATGCTCATGCATGCTCACAACATGCCTATCACATGTCTTACAGGGTGAACACATGACCCCCCTGTCTCAAACATCATACATTCTCATACATGCAAACATACGGACAAGTCGTGGCATCTTCCAGCATTTCCTCGCTCACTTCATCTGCAGCCCGGGTCAGTTTGTTTGATTTAATACACACGCACACGGACCTGGTCAGCAGCTGCCGAGCCTTCCGGCTGCCGGGCAGCCCCAAACTGGCAGGTACGAATGCCACCTTGGCCAGGGACGCCCACCACTCCCGCCCGCCCCCTAGCGCAGGGCCCTGCTGACCGGCCAGGTGGGCCACCAGCGCCTCCGCGGCTGCGACCACCTTGGCTCGGGCCCCAGCCACGGGCGAAGGGACCTCCGTAGCACCGTCTGCCAGGAAGGGATCTATGAGGGGGGTGGGGGGGCCGGAGGGGGGTGGAGTTGAGGGACAGGATAAGAGGCAGAGGAAGGGCGGAGCGCTATAAGCTTGCCGAGGGCAGTATCACCTTTGTCCTTGGGATTCGAAACGTGCTACACCGTCCACACCACCACCACCTTCACCACCACCACTACCGCTAGAAAGAAGAGGTTATCAGACCCTTGGTGTTATAGTGTGTGTGGGGGGAAACCCGACACACGACACAAGAGGTCCTCACGGACGGTCCCAGACTCCCTCATCTCACCCTCTAGGCTGGTTCCATGCTCAGGTAAGCCCTCGACCGGCAACGTCATGTGCAGCGCCGCGCCACGTGCCGCCACAGCCTCGGCCGCCGACATGAACGCCGCGGCCGTCACCTTGTGCTGCATGCCCGCATCGCGCAGCACTGTGAGCCAGGCCGGCGTCGCAAACTGATCTCGCGGAAAGACGGGGCATCCTAGGAAGGCAGCGGCGAAAAGCGGGTGGTCGGGATCATACAGCTCCCCGGGGCGCTTGAGGGCCCCGTCGGCGACCAGCACGAAGGGCGTGTCTCGGAGAACGGCGAGCAGGGCGTCGTCCGAGCGTAGACGGGACCAGTTGGCCTGCGAGGAGGTGTGTGTATACGGGTCGGAAGCAGGTGTAAAGGTCAGGGGAAACCCACAACCTGTCCATTCCTGCACCCTACACCCTACACACACATCAGGATTCCAGACTGAGGTATATTACTGATATATATCACTATTATGCTGCAGGGCGGCATTGGAGACGTGAGTTTGGGTGTGCACCTAGCGGGGAATGGACTGGGAAAGGAGAGATCCTGATAGATACATTTCTCCCTTAAGCCCCTATAGCCGGCTTCAAATCGCTCCGAATCATATTATTACTACCACCAACGCCACTATGACTGTAAACCTGAAAATTGGATAGCAAAGCCCGCAATTTCCACAGCCAGTTCCGCTCCAACAACAACAGCTGCAACAACTGAACCCTCACAGCCCCGGAGTCCACATATAGAGATGTCCACAGTGGCTAGGCTGCAACTCCAAATTTCGTTCTTACTCCCAGTTAACTACTCGCGTCACTCGGACAGTTGGCAACCGTTGGCAGCCTGTTGGAGTCAGTTGTTTTTTCCTCTACTCCATCTCCAGCCCACCTGTCCTCCTGCCCACCCACCCACCCACCCACCACCCACCTGCACGTGCGTCAGCAGCATTACCCGCACCTCCTCGGGCAGCCGTTCCAGGTGCGGCAGCGCCACCGCCGCCAGGAAGCCGGCGGCCCCCAGCGAGGCCACCCCCAGCAACGTGTACAGCCGGGAGGCACCGGGCTGGGGAAGCAGCAGCCGCCGCGGCGCGGACGCGGGAAGCGCCGCGTCCAAACCTGATGGAGGCGGCCGGGGCCACCGGGACAGGAGGAGGAAGCGGGAACAAACGGGGGGAAGAGATAAAAGGAAGCGAATCTTCATCCTGGGCCAAGGGATATGTGCAAGACCAAGGGATATGTGCGAAACGCATCACAATCCACACATACTTGGAAATAATAAAATTATAAAGTTTCCTCGAATTTGCAATATGATTATAATGGTTAAGAATTAAAATGATCTAAACAACCTCAAAAAGATGGCGGAATGTAGTGACGGCCCCGCGCTATTCACAGCGCCATTGTCGGAAGCCTCCCACCACATCTCCCCCCAACCCCGACGTCGCCCACGCAATCAACCGAAGTTGCCACCAGCCGGCCCCAGCCGAGTCCCGGCCCAGTACGTATGACTAGTGCGCATGGCGACTGGGGCCCTTGATAGCGGTGAGGATCCTAGATAGACTGACCGGGACCACGTACCCGGCACCAGATGAAGCAGCTCTGCGGAGCAAACCACCGGCGGGGCAGCCGCCGCCGTCGTCTCCGCACCCGTCTCCACTGCCGCAGCTGCAGCTGCATCGGCAGCCGAGGAGGAGGTCGTGGAGGGCCCCGGAGAGCCCTCCTCCAGAGCCGTGTAGACGCCGCCGTGGGTTGGGTAAATAGGCAGGCGACGCAGGAAAATGATGTCCGCAGGGTCGATGTTGCTGTGCGTGAGGGAAGACCGAAGCATCGGTCGGGTGTAGTGAGATCCAGATTTAAAAATGATGGTGAGATAGTACGAGGAATCACTTTACAAGGCTCCGATTCATGGCATTTGGGTGAACCGATACACCGCTGTAACCGGATGCCATCCACACACGACCGTGACCGACCTACTTACTCCTTTTTCCGTTGACCGTGTTAACGTCGACGTCTGACAGTAATACTACTACCCAGACAGTGCGCCGCAAGAAGACAGGCAAAGGAATGAAAGCTCCCGGAATGAAAGCGTCGACCCCAGTCGCGCCCATCTCCTACTACTACACGGCACCGCGGGACGGTCTCCCTTACGTCGGAGTCGCCTCGGCCAGGAGCCCGAGCACCGCCGCCCTCGTGGCATCATCCCACTCCGCACCGCAACGAAGTGGCAGCGCACCGCCACAGGCCGCATTGCACAGCCGCATCTTCTCCACGAGTGCTGCGACGGCAGCGCCCGCCGCGGCACCCGCCGACCCACGGGTCGCTGCAGAGCCCGCGACCGCCGCGGCCTCCGCCAGGCCACGTGCCGGCAGGCCGTCGGCGTGCGGCGCGCAATGGCGCCCCGCTGCCGCCCTGAACCTGGGGTCCAGCAGCGGACAGCCGATGGCGTGAAGCGCCGGGGCCAGCCAGTTCCAAGGCGCCGGGAGAGCGGGCTCCTGCGGGGTGTGTGGGTAGCAACACAATTATTAGCAACACCAAATATTAGCAACACCAATATTAGCAACACCAATATTAGCAACACCATTATTAGCAACACCATTATTAGCAACACCAATATTAGCAACACCAATATTAGCGACACCAATATTAGCAACACAATTATTAGCAACACCGATATTAGCAACACCGATATTAGCAACACCAATATTAGCAACACCAATATTAGCAACACCAATATTAGCAACACCAATATTAGCAACACCAACACCAACAACAGTAGCAGCAATAACAGCAGTAACAGCAGCTACGACAGTCTTGGCATGCGCAACAAGAGCCGGCCAACCGACCTCCGGAATGTCATTCAACTTCACCGTGCAACTCAAGCCGCAGGCGCAGTACCACTGCAGCACTACTATCCCCTACCAGCCCTACTAGCAAACTGCACGCACGCACGCACTCGGTCCAGTGCGCGAAACCGAAGCTACCAAAAGTAACACCAAAGCGCACCATGCAAAGCACAACACGCTCGCACGCAAGACATACCAGGTCGCGGAGAGCGGGCATCCGCCCAGCCGCAACCGTAGGGCCCTCTTCAGCCGAAAGTGGAGACGGAGACGGAGACGGAGGCGGCGCGGCTGCCGCGGCGCCTTTACCGCCTTTATCCCCTGCCTCAGGTGACGGAGCCGAAGGCAAGCAGATCACCAGCCGGCAGTGTCGTACCGGCAGAAGCACGGCTGTGCCTGCGCGGGACCCCAGAACCGGCAGCAGCGGCCAATTGTGAAGCGGCTCCAGCCGGCCCTCGCTGCCACTACCACCTCCAATAGCCTGAGGATGGGAAATGCGTTTCACATATGCGGACACAGCGTGGGTATCAACGGAATCTTAGCTTGCATTTCCTTGTTGCTCTGGAGGGCGAGAAAGTCCAAGAGAGCCCGCCCTGGAAACATATTTGCATATGTAGAAGCTGTTAAGATTGATCTTAATATATGTCGATCTCAGCCAACAGCAAACCTCGCTCTCCCTCCTCACGGGACAGAGATGCACAATCAACAAGGTGGTAAAAGACTCTTTCCTTAAACGGACACCTTGTTGAAGAGGAAGCGGCCATCCCTTGCGAGGAAGAAGTCGCGCGTTGTGAACACTACGGCAATGCGGGGCAGCAACCCTTGACCCCCCTAGCTGCCCTACCCGGTTCCTAAATCTCCCGCAAGTCACTCACCTGCCATTCCCGCGCAGCTTCTAGTAACCCATTCACCAGCGCCCAAAGCTGCCACAGCCACAAACCGCTGGGGCCGTCACCCTGCTGTCCCCCAGAGCCGCCATCCCAGGTGCGACCCAGGCCCGTAGGACCGACCCGTGGGTCACTGTGCTGGTTCTGCTGCCTCTGCTGCTGCTGGGCTGGAGAAGGCGACGGCTGCAAAGCCGCACCGGAGGCCATTGGGTGGTCCCATCCCGGCGGTAGAGCTGTTCGAAGGTGGCGGGCAAGGTTGTCCAGAGTGTACAACCGCAGCTCCAGGGAAGACCTGTACTGTGGATCCTGTGTACGGCAGAGATGTGGACAGACAGACAGACAGACAGGTAGGGCGTGGACTCAGGAGGCAGCGGCCATTGGACTCTGGGTTCGGAATGTTCAGAAAAATTATAGAAGAGCTGGCAGAGGGTCACAACAAGCGGATTGTGAGCACGCACAGGTTGTAACGGCCTGAAGGGCCCACAGGGCCACACCCCGCATGTCGCCTAGCCTCAGGGCGCATTGCCCTGGTCATAATCCTCTTGCGCACCTTGAAGTGTTCCACCATTTTTGCCACGCAGTCCGGGTGGACGAACTCGGGGCCGCAGTGGGGGGGCAGCAGCACAGCAGGAGTGGGCAGGGCGGGCAGGGGCGGGGCCACAAGCAGCAATGTGGAGCCCAGCGACTCGACACTGCCTGTGGGGCGGTACCACAAGGCGGGCAAGAAGTGCTCACCTGTTCATGCGAAACTGAGGAAACCGGACAAGGTAATTATTTGGAGAGAGGAGGAGCAGCGGGAAGCAGTGCACGGCGCAAGGGGGCTCCCGAGCTGTTCGTTCCTCTTTCCTCATGGGACTTGGGAGGCTGTCCTACTCTATTCCAATCTCGACACGTTTTGTAGGCCGTTCCATCACATGGCCTTGACGTCACCGAATACACTGATGAGGCTGCTGATGCAGCATGTCTGTACATCGTCGTCCAACCACAACTTTCTTGGTGACACCGCCCTGCAGCCCCCACACACCCATGTCCGAGCTCGTCGAGGAACAAACCGCCCCAGCTCACCGTGCTGTGGTTCCAGCATACTACACACAGCTTGTTCTCAGGGCTGCACAAGCTCGACGGTTCCCTTCCCCAACAGCCGCACGAGCTACCAACCCCTGCTATCAGCACATGCTCCACCACACAGCCTCAGCCTCAGCCTGCATGTCCCCGTACAAGCTCGGACCTACGCTGCCATCAAGTGCAATGTGCACCTGCCAGACCGCATACAGGTCATCCATGGTGATGGTGCAGTCATCATAAGTCAAAAGCATCCTTTCACAGCGTCACATGCATTACGTGGTTCCCGTCGCACACACAGCATCATACCTGCTGCAGTGGGGACCGGTAGTCCTCGGCAGTCCAGAAGGCGCGCCGCGTGATAGCGCGGCGGAGGTGGGGCGGGGGCGGCCGCGGAGGTAGCAGCCGGAGCCGGAGCCGGAGCCGTGGGGGTTTGAGGGGCCGCACCAGCATCACCCAGCATTCCTAAAGCCTGCAGTCATTTCCAGACACAACCAAGCCGGGCCCGGGTTGTCCTCAGCTGTATTAGTAACATTAAACAGTGAAAGCTTTAAGGCATTAAGCTTCTTCCGAAAACCGAGCATATTAGACATTAATCCTTGCAGGCGTGATGCGGACAAGACCTTGTCTGTCTGTGTGCCCTTTATTCTGTAGGACATTGTGAAGGTTGGAACGCAGTATCGGTACATATATTTTGCAATTTCTGTACATGTCGTACACGTACCTGCTGTCGTAGCTGGTCGTACAGCGCCGGGCCCACCAGCTCGCCCACCACATTCCGCACCTGCATGCACCACCCGGAGAGAGCAGAACGAGGCAACCGTCCGACGCGAAAGAGGCGGTTAACTTAAAAAAAGAGTACTCGACTCTAAAAATCAAACAGGTGCTGTTGCGGGGGAAAGGGAAAGAAAAGGGAAGGACCGCTCTGAGGGACCACACAGAGATTGACTCACTCGTGCACCGTGGGGCTTTCAACGCAGCACAACCCTACACGCCTTAACACCGCCCCCCAACCCACACGCCTACACTTCTCGCCACTCTCAGTTCACTACCACGCACACCTACCTGGGAAGTCAGGCCGTCCAACAGCCCGCCCACTCCCCCGGCCTGTTGTTGACCCGGGCTACTGCCGCCGCCTCCCATAGGAGGAGCCGCCGGCGCAGCGGCCTGCCCGCGCCCGCCCGCACGTGCAGACCCCACCCCAGCCGGTGCGGAAGCGCCGGAGGCGGCGTCAGCAGCGGGTGCGGCAGTGGACGCCGCCGTCACCTCCGCGACCAGATCAGCCGAGCAGAACAGCAGTAGCTCTGTTGCTTCAAGGACGGTGAGTCCCGGCCAGGCGATCTTGGCGCTGCCAGCACCGGCGACCTGTCGGCGACCGAGGTTCTTCAGCAACGGCCGTACGACAGCGGGGCTGACGGTACGGAGGCCGTGCACGTCCGCGGATTCGAGGTGCTGCTTTGTAATCCATGGGACGTCAAACAGGGGCAGCTGGCGAGCCATGAAACCCATGGCCGCCGTCCCCAGGCCCTCAGTAGTTGGTTGCAGAAAGCAGCCCTCCGGCAAGTGGACGAATCGACCCGTACGTAAGCGCCACAGCGGCAGCCTGGCGGCGGCGGCGTACATCTGCCGGACGCAGTACAGCGCCGTCTCGTCGGCGATGCCACCAGCGTTGGCGGCGGTCGCCGCTGCCATGTCGGGAAAGATGTCGTACAGCCGCTCCCGCGGGCCGTTGTATTGGTCCTGGGAGCAAAAGAACAGTGCCAGGTTTTGCCAGGCTGTAGCGGCAAGGTCCAGGACCCGACGGTTGTGTTCGCAGCGGTGCTGTAGCTGCGGCAGTAGCGGCGGCGTAACGGGCCCCCCCGGCCCAGGGACCCCGGCGTCGGTGTTGGGCGTTGCGCCACTGCCGCCGCCGGCGGCGCCCTCAGCACGCGCAAACGGTGGCACAACATGCTTCCCGTTTCTGCGTAATAAGTAGAAGTGACCTGCGACGAGGAAGGGCATGCGGCCAAGCGCCGCGCCTCCGCCGCTGCCGCCGCTGCCGCTGCCTGACGGCGTCGCCGGCAGGTACACCGGCGCGTAAAGTCCGCTTGTGATGAAGAGGTTCCGCTGGTCGTCACGACCGATGCAAACAGCCGCGGCCGCTACAAGCTCAGGCCGGCCGCCGCCGCCGCTGGCGGCGGCGGCGGCAGGCGACAGCGGCACCCCATCCAGATCGTGACAGGACGAAACCAGCCAGCGCTCGCGATACACCGTGGCGCCTTGTACCGCCCCCTCCACTGAATTCAAGCCCAAAGCGCCGCTGCCGCCACCACGCGGCTTCACCGGCGGCGGCGGTGTCGACGCTGACGCCGACGGCGGCGACTCACTAACGGCGGCTGGCTCGGTCGGCAGTAGCAGCGCATTATGGGCCATGACATGGAGCTCCTGGGGTATTCACACGGCGGCAGTACGACAATAAAGTGCGGCATTAGGTGACAGCAAGTGCAGTAGCGACGCATGTCGCACCAGGGAAGTCGCAGCAAGGTCGCTGTCAGGCGGAAAACGTGAAGGCATCAGGAAAGCTCTGTGATTCTCACTTTGCGAGAACCTGGAGGAGTTCTCTATGTCCACCTGCTTAGCGAGAGCGCAGCCAAGAGAGGAGAAAAGACGGCATAATAGAGGAATTCGCCCTCACTGCACAGTCCTTCTGATAATGAGGGGTCCAAGACTTCCAACTTACCAACGGACAGAGGTAGTGCTTGGGATTGTCCTGGTTACCCCCACGCCCCAGGCTGCGCCCAAACGCCTGCGCTAGCGCCTTCAGCGCCGCAGGCCCGCTGGATCGCTGCCGTGCTGCGGCGCCAAGAGCGGCAAAGTCGGGCCGCAGCCGGTCTGTGTCCAACGTTACAACCCTCGCTTGCAGCAGCACTTCCCGGACAGCGCGGCTGCCGGTGGCGGCGCCAGTGCCGGCTGCAGTACTGCCGGTGGCGGCGCCAGCGGAGGCTGTGGAGGCTGTGGCCTCCGACGCCGCCGGCTGGGGTCGCAGGAGGGAAACCATGATACCGTGGAGACAGTGCAAGAAGAGAAGACTGCGGGGAGCATGTACGACAAACTGCCGCAGCGCAGCCTCGACTGACTCCAAGGTTGCCGCCGCCAGGCCGCCGTTGCGGAGGCCGCGGGTGTCAGCGGCGGCGACCGACTCGCCGCGAGCTCGCGCAATGGCGGCGGCGCCAGCGGCGCCGGCCGCCACCGACCCCAGCGGCGGCGGCGATGCCCGCCGCAGCGGCAGACGCAGCAGGGTAGCGTTGATGGGACTGCGGATGTCGTACTCGTCGGCGAAACTCCAGACTGCGAACTGGTCGGCGAAGGTGGATAGCAGGTCCGAGGATGCGTGTTTGTACTGCTTGGCGCGGGGGCTGAGTGCGCCGCCCCGCCCGCGACCAGCGCCGCCGCCGCCGCCGCCGGACCCTGCCGTCGACCCGGTGCCGCTGCCCAGGTATATCCCGCTGGGGTCAAACATGTACGTCGTGTCGCCGGAAACGACCTGCAGCGCCGCAAAGAGAACAACACATCTGCAAGTGAGTGCCACCAGGCCATCACCCCGCCAAGGCCAGTTACCATTTGAGGATAAGGGAAACACCAAACGGATCTATCTAAAAAGGGGCGTTTCCAGCAGCCTACGGACTTGCATGGATTATGCTGGAGCCCATGACGTTCGTCCAGCTGCACAACCTTGGCTAGCCGTACCAATCGCGTGCGTCTCCCGTACACATACACATACGCAGGCGTACGCGTACACAGTGCGTAGGTGCATGACTTGCCGTAAGGTCCGCTATGCGTGCCGTACCTGCAGAATCTCCGAAACCAGGAACGCCGACTGCAGCCCCGCCGAATACGCCGCCACGCGACCGCGAATAGAGGGTGGCTGCGCCCGCGAGCACAGCAGCCCCGCCACTTCCTCCGTGCTCAACACCACTTCAGGCAGTACGACACATAGAGCCGGACCTGCCGTACAATATACATGTAAGGATCCAGCGGTAAGAAAGGCATGGGAAAGAAAATCTCAAGCCACTAGACCCTTTCACAGGGCGCAGTGCTCCACCCAGCCAGCCACGCACTCACCTTGGAATGCAGCCAACGCGGGTTGCAACAGCGATTGAGCGGGGTGCTGCCGTACATCCAGGACCAGCCGTACACCGCGCAGCCCCAGCGCATCCGCCACCTCAAGCAGCTCGAACAGGAAGGTCGCGGCGGCGGCCTCTCCGGCCGAAGCGCCGGCGGCTGACGCGCCACTCGGATCCGCAACCTGGTTGCAAGGACGGACAAAGACACAGAACCGGGAATAAATCCAGGATACCCACATCCGCGCCTACACCATCAGCAGTGCTCCCTGTTTAAAAACCACCCCACGGCAACATCCCGCACTCCCCTCCCTTCGCTTGCCTGTGCCGCCGCCAGCCCCAGTCGCTCCCGTAGCTCCCCGGGTGAGGGGCACGGCAGAGCTGCCGTGAGCTGGGCCTCAACTTCGTGCGCGTAGCTGCGTAGAGCAGGTGGAGGATGAAGGCGCAGGTGACGGAGGAAGGGACCCGAGGGGGGGTGCATAGCGGCAGGGAGCGGCGCAAGGGTGTCTGCCCGCAGGCATATGTGGGGCCGGAAGCTACGCACAAGATGCAGACACACATAGCGACAAAAGCGCAGTAAGAAAAACATGCGCGCGCTCCCGTGCACGCGCGCGTGTGTGCGTGTCTTGTTGCGTGTTCCGCCGGGCTCCCGATTGTGACCTAGCTCTCCTAGCACGCACATCCACATTCTCCCCCTTCTTCCCCCTCACCGCAGGCTCCTCACGCCCAGCGCCTCAGCCGTAGTCTGCGGCAGAGCACCGTGGGCCATCTGGACGTGGCGCGCGTCCAGCCACTCGGCGTCGTTGAAGAACAGCTCAGGACCCGGCGTCATGACGGCGGCTGCGTCAGGCACGAAAAAGTGGCCCGTCGGTCTGCCGTACGCCGCCAGCGCGTCCGCCGCGCAGTCTGCCAGCTGAAGCGCTAGCGCGAGGGAGTCGTCGTCCAGAGGGGATCCGGCGGCGGCAGCGGCCAGAGAGGCCAGGCCGGAGGCGTAGTGCTGCGCAGTGAACCTGCGCCCAGCGTTTTGGGTGCACGTTTTGGGATCCTTGTGGACAGTAGGGCCCAGCGGCCCCAGGCCCCAGGGCCAGCAGGGCAGCATGTGCACTACTACAAGGACGCTGTGTAAGGAGAGGTACATGTGAAAGGAAAACACACCCTCCGGACGAAGGAGGATGCCGACTTGCGCCGCACCGTCCTCAACGGATTCCTCCCCCATCGTGTCGGCGCTGTGCCACTGGGGTGCTGGCGACGGAGGCCGCAGCGGCTTCAGGGCTTCATAACCATAAGCATACGGCATTCGGCCCCGACCACCAGGGATATGTGAACCCATATCATTGTAGCAGCGCGTGCCATCCCTCCTTGGCCGTGGGCCCGCGCGCCCGCCGACCTGCCACCCAACCATCGGGCAATCCAGCCAACCACACACTTACCTGTCCATCACGCCCATGAGGGACAGCAGCCGGCCGTACTGATGCAGAGGCTCCGGAACCACCCACAGGTACGGCCGGAAATCGCCTTCGGAGCGCAGTACTGCAACTCCGGGCAGCACGAAACCCGCGCCGACCCACACGCAAGGCGAGTCCGGGTCAGGACGCTCGAAGCTCATTGCCACCAGGTCTCCCTCGGGCCCGTCAATAGCAGCGGACAGCGAGTCGTACAGGCGATGTACGGCACTTTCGAGGGCTTTGTTGAGCGTGCTCGCCGCGGCGTCTGCAGCCCCGTCTGTGGTGGGCTTGCCCTCGGAGGACTTTGCGGGTTCAGGGACGGAGGACAGCTGTGCGTCGGCTGAACCCCCTGAACTCTCGGTGTCGCTGTTTGCTCCACCGCCAGCATCCGCCCCCCCATCCGCGACAGCTTCCGTCTGTGCCTGCGGCGGCGGCGGCAGTTGCGGCTCCGCCTCGGTTTGTGTCAGCCGCTTGGGCTTGTAGGCATGCAGGCGGCCCAACTGTATCAGCTGGGCCGCCAGGACACTGACTCGCGGCATGGCATTCCAGCCCAGCGCCGCCTGCAAGGGTTGACCCACGGGTCGCTCGAGGATGTGCAGGGTTGCGCCCACCAGCCACGCGTCAGCCGGCGGCCGGACCAGGCGCGGTGGGGCGAGCAAGGGCGTCGGCATTGACGGCCAGGGAAGGCCTGCAGGGACGCAGAGAGTCGGCACGGGAGATGCCACGTTCGCTGCAAGGAGTAACCATAGGCAACTGACTGAAGGGGCTTGGGGACTAAGGCTGCGCCAAAGCATATTATCGGACGGACGACCAGTCGGTGTCGGCGTTCAGATGCTCGCTAGCCCGTTATCCGTGCTGTTGTCCACCCGCGCGCAGGTCCCAGCCGCTGCGGGGAGTTCTCCCACGCGCCCAGAAACCCCACCCGCCATCCCCCTACCCGGTTCCGGAGCCTCCCGCAACACAGGGCACCAACTCAGACCCGACAGCTGCTCCCACGCCCTCTTAGGATCCTCCTCTCTCCCAGGACTGGCGCCGGCGCCGCCGCCGCTGCTGCCGTACTGCCCTGCCCACAGCTCCAATTGCTGCAACAATGCCCGTGCGCGTGACAGCAGCGATGCGTCCGTCACGGCCGACAACGCCGACGACGACGCCGAGGCCGCCGCCGCCGCCGCCTGCGTCACGGAGGCCATTGAAGCTGAGGCCCATGCTGCGTGATCCGTTTGCAGGGCTCTGGCTGCGGTGAGCAGTACCCGAAGGTCGACAGCCCGCGCCATGCCGAGGAAGCCCAGCGCGTCCAGCAGCCGCGACGGCGGCGCCCCAGCGGCAGTCACGGCGCCAGCGGCGGCAGGCACAGTCAGGGAAGCCGCTGGGAAGAAGGCGCTGTCTGGCGGCAGCAGCGACGTCAGGACCGGTAGACGTGGGTCGTGCAGCTCCGATGGACGACGAAGGTCGCCAGAGGGCGCTGCCGTGGGGATGAGCGGGTGCTCACTGCGCGGCAAAAAGTGTGAGGGAGGGAATAAGATGCACATCAGAAAAATCATGAGAACAAAGAGGTCGTACGTTTCGGTTTTTTTTTGGGTGTGGGGTTTTAGGCTTTTAGGATAAAAATGTCGCATAAGTTATGCTGGTAGCAGCGAGGCAAGGCGTCCAGCTTGACACGCAGAAGCACAGATTAGGCTGGCTCCCAATTCCACTCAGAAAACAGCAAAAAGCTACACCGCAACAACGGCACACCCACCTCAACGCCTGACGCAGCGCCTGCGCCTCCACATTCGCCGCCGATCCCCACATCCCCGCTACCTCCGCCAGCCTGCACAGCAGCCCAGCCACGTAGGTACCCAGCGCATCCCGAGGTAGCTCCGAAGCCCGCGGACCCACGTGCTGCTGCAGCAGCTGCGGGTGGCTGAGGCGAGGCACGCCCAGATGGCGCTCCAGGAGGGCCTCCTCGGCCGGGGAATCGACGCGGAGAAAGGCAGAGGAGAGGACCCGTGGGTCTGTATCCGACGGTGCGAGACGGTGGCGCTTCGGATCTAGGGCCGTGAAGTGCTGCAGCTGCGCCGCCGCCTGCTGTTGTTGCTGCTGCGACGGCTGCTGCTGCTGCTGCTGCTGTTGCTGTTGTTGCGCCGAAGCGGAGGCGGAGGAACCAGCGGCGGCGCGGGCGGGTTCCGCCGGCGGTGGTGGTGGAGCTTTGGCAGCTGAGGCTGCTGGGACCGGGTCCGGAAAGACTTCAAAGATTGGCAGCGAGCGCAACAAGTCCAGTCCTTCTTGGGCGAGCGGCGGTGTGGAACCTGCACGTATGCATGTATACATGCGCACATTATTGGCCACGAAGGAACTGTTAATCGTGCGGGGTTGGATGTAAAGGGATGATGGAGGAATTGGGATAGGGAAACCAATTTCCGCCAGCAGCTCTCCTGGTTTCAACCAGTAAGGAAATCGCATACGCATCGAATACAGCAGAAATACATCTAGGAGTTACTCCCTCCTTCCCAGCGCATACATGCACAGCGCGCATGTCGTACCGCCGCGTGAGCCACCCTTCCTAAACAAGCTCACTCGCCACAAGCCAACAACATTTTAACCATTCCTCCGGTTATTGAATCGTTCGCCGCACCTCTTTTTGAAGGGCCCACCCATTCACCCAGGTACCCACTCACCCGTAAACCAGCGGCTCTGTAGCAGGTAGCTCCGAAGCTGCCGCCTCTCCACCGCCGTCAGGCCGGACAGTCGCACAGACCATGGCTCGGCCATTGGCCCCGACGTGGGGCGAGCTGTGGCAGTAGCGGGCGGTTGCCACAGGGGCCCCCTGCCACGGTCGACAGCATCCCCAGCCCCAGCCCCAACCCTGTCTCCGCCCACGCCAGTTAAGGCCAGGCCCACGCCTGTGAAGCTCTGATTGGAGCCCGCACGACTCAGGGCCCCTAAGGCCTGTCCCTGCGATTGGGCTTGAACCTGGCCAGGTCCACCTCCCCGCGCTTTGGCTGCCGCAATGGCGGCCATGACGCCTGAGAGGCTGGGCTGCTGGACGCAGGCCTGGTTAATAAAGGGGAGAAAAACACAGGGGGGCGGATCGAACCGGAGGATGTTCAACATGACGCTTGCAGTGGACGGGGGGACCAGACTGCAAGGAGCACATCACACGTGCACGCCGCTCCGCCCTGGACACTGGGCTTTCACAATTCCCAACCCGGTGCAGGGGTGTAAGGCGTGCCTATGGGCTAACATAATCGCTGTTTAGCGCGAGGATAGCGCACTAGCGCTATACCGCAACGCACCTGTAACGCAGGTGATGCTGCCGCCCCCGCCCCCGCCCCTGCCGCCTTCTCCAGCAGTGCGGTGTCCAGAAGGCGGCAACCCAGCCGCAGCAACGCGGAAGTGACACCCTCCGTCCAGTCGCCCTCGCGCAGAACCTTCGGCAAACAATAGAAAAATTAGACAACACAAGGGAACACCGAGGTCACAAGCGGCAGCAGAAGGGAGGCGTGGCGCTCTTACTCGCATGCTTGGCTTGGCTAGTCACATATTTTTGAAGGTTGCCTGGAAACCCTGAGCGACGTAAAGTGCGCGACGCCAAACAAGCGCCAACGCTGGTGACTGAACACCGGTCAAGCCAGCACGCAAGCATGCACCCCATATGCGCTCCACGCACCAGCGACTTCTCCTGCAATGTCCCCAGGCGACCGCCCTGTATCGGCAGCACGGGCCACGACGCCAGCTGCAGTACATCCTCACGATTGGCTAGCCAGGCCCACAGCGCGCGAATCCATTCCGCCGTCGGTCCGGGCGATGGCGGCGGCAGCAGTACCGGCGGTGACTGTGGGTCTTGTACTGGTACTTGCTGCTGCGGCTGCTGCGGCTGCTGGGGCTGCAAAGGCGATGTTGGGGTTGGGGCCCACTCCACCTCCACCGCGCCCTGCCAGCTGGGCGGCAGCAGTAGCGATAGGAGAGTGGAATCCAAAAGAGCGGGGGAGAGGCGCTGCACGTTGAAGAGCCGCAAGTCGACGACCTGGAAGGTGAGGGCAGGCATTAGGGTTGCGAAAACTACAAAAACAATAAACGGCCGTCGTCCCGCCAAGCCATCAGACGGAAGGGAGGAAACGCGCGGACGGGAGATTGCTAATACAGCCGAAACGACAAACTACCAACGATCAAACTGCAGGAACTTATCCCAAACGCAGAAACTATTAGCCTGCGCTCCCTGGTAACTCGGGAGGTATCCTCCTTCATAGAACTCCAGCTCGAGGGCTACGTCTCACCGTCAGCTGCGACATGGCCAACACTCCGCCATGAGCCCACCGCCACACCACATCGCCACGTCCGTCCCACATACCCCGGCCTTTTGCTTACCCGCTGCAGCCTCTCGACCAGGGGCCCCGGCAGCCCCGGCGCCAGACACCGGTTGCGTAGCCCCGCCAGCATTTCAAGCTCCAACGACCCATGGGTCAAAACGTACACGTGTGCGGGTGCGGGCGCTGAGTTCCGCCCGCGCGCCGACTTGCCGGACGCAGGAGCACCTTGGTGCGTAACCTGCGGAAGGGCAAAAGGGCAAAGGCACAACAGGAACGCCGGTTCGGGACTGCACGTGATGCTTTTTCTTTTACGCACCTTTCTGCCCCTTGTAACCGTCGAGCATGCGAACCCCTGCGCCGTCACGCTCCTGCGGGGATGCGCTCCCCTCAGGGGTGCCTACCACCGACGCCACACGGTGGGATTCTCAACTAGACGTGCACGGCACACACATACAAACACGCCGTGTGCCACCAGCACCAGCACCAACACCAGCACCAGCACCAGCAACCCCACCTGGAGCCGCCCTAGAGTTCCATCTGCCAACGGCAGCAGCGGCAAACCGTCGAGCTCCTGTTGCAGCTTCTGCAATTGCTGTTGTTGTTGCTGCTGCTGGTTCTGCTGCTGGCTCTGAGCTGCTTGCTGGCCGCCGGCGCTGCCACTGGCCCCAATCGGCGCCTTCCCTCCTGCCGACGCCACCGTCGCCAAAGAAGGAGTGGGAGCATACGCGTCCAAATCCGACAAGCAGTACCGCAACAACGCGGCGACGGCCGCCGTCAGCGGAGCCAGCTTACCTCCGCCAGCATCCTCCGCCAGCGGCTGCGGCAACTGTCCTCCCCCCATGGTAGCAGAAGCAGCCTTATGCTGCGGCGCACCGCCGCCCACAATGTCAGCGTCAGCAGCAGCGGCGGCGGCAGCTGTGATCTGCTGTCCCACCGCCGCGCTGTCGCCGCCCGCGGCTCGCAGCATATTCGCCAGGTGGCGCCGTACGTGCTGCGGCTCGACCGCAGTCGCGGAGGGCACGCCTCGCAGCAGGCGAGCCTCCGCCTCGGGTGGCATGTCGCAGGCAAGCGGCATGCCTAGCGCCACCAGAAGGTTCCGGAGCAAGGGTTCCGCGGCGCAGGCGGCGTCGGAGAACAGGGCCGCACTGCAGAGAGGAAAGCGGACACGACGCCGGCACGCACGTCATGCGGTTACGAGGGTCAGATGGTCAGGAGACACAGATACGACGGATGCCCGGGGCACTCGCCGGGCTTTCCAGGCTGAAGGCAGTGGCCCTGGTGACGTGCGGACACTCCTTGAACCCTGCGGCACTCTGAGATTTCCGTGCGCAGTAACACGTCCAATGCCAAGCGCGGAGTGCCGCGTGCGTCCCTCTGCCGCCCAACGTCGCTCCGCCAGCCCCCTTTCAAAGCAGCCCCTCCCTCCCTCCCTCCCTCCCTCCCTCTGCTCATGCGACTATGGTGTTCATAGTAATGGAGATGGCTATGGCCGAGGTGACTATCTCGACTCTTCCCAAAGTATTCCAACAATGGTCACTGCGATGATGGCTAGCGATACATCATAAATCACAGCCTTCCCCCACCATCAACATCAACATCATCATCGTCAACATCATCATCATCATCATCATCATCATCATGAACATCATCACCACCACTATCACCTACGTGGGTGTAATCCAGCGGCCGTCTCCCGCCCGGGTCCGGGTCCACACGATGGGCAGCTGCCCCAGCTGGTGCTGATACAGCGCCGAAACCAGGTGCGACCAAGGCTGAGGAGTCTCCAGGGAGGGCAGCAACCTGTTCTCGCCAGCCAAGCCAGGGGGTCGCGAAACCGCAGCGGAAAAAAGACTCAGCAGAGACGGTCAAAGCATGTGAAGACAAGGTTGGGCATTAAGGCAGAGCCATCCACCGGGACAGCAGAACGAGAACTGCCAACAAGGTAGAGAAACGACTGAGCGGCATTCGGAAAGGGCGGAGGCGGAGGCCACCAGCACATCTCAGTTCAGCTCACCGGTACAGCTGTTGGCCCGGCCCAACACGCCGCGCCACCGCCACCAGCACCCGGCCGTAGCAGGGGCCCAGTGCATCCGCCATTAGGGCCACATTCCAGCTGGAACGGGCCGCACCGGCCCCCGCCATGTCGCCACCATACCTGGAGGCGCAGGGAGGGAAACACGCAGCAACACGGCGCATTACATCACATACTGCTGAACTGCCATTTCAATTTCGCGTCCGGTAAGTACGACATCCGTCAGGGCCGCATCGATGGTTAGAGTTTAGCCAAGGAAGAGATCGCTGAAGTCTTAAATTTCCCTTTTCCCGACTACACAGCCGCTGGTTCTTAGGCTGAAAATAACAGCGGAGGCACAGACTCCTCTCTGCAGTGCGGCGAATCCCCTCTCCCCTTGGGCCCTGGCAGAACCAAAACCCCATCCTCATAAGTACCTCCTCTCACCAGATGTCTCGGCGGTTACTGGACAGCTCAAAGTAGCCGTTGACATGGACCGGCAACCCCGTGCGGATGGGCAGCGGCAGGAAGCAAAAGGCGCGGCCGTCTAGCCCACCGCCGCTGTCGTCGCCACCGGCGTCGCCTTTGGCCGTCGCCAGCACTTCGCCACCGACGGCACCGCCGACGGCCGATGGCACACGTGCTGCGACACCGACCCACGGGACCATCTTTGTGCTGTGGTTTCGGAACGACTTGAGCGCCATATCCCGCGCGCCTCCTCCTCCCAGGGCATTGCAAACCAACCATCGCTCCGTAACCATCCCGGGCACTGCGCGATGTCCTGGCTTAGACGACGCTTCCGCTGCACTGCTAGCGGAGGTGGCGGAGGCAGCGCCGCCGCCGCCACTGGCTACAGCAGCGATGCCGCCTGGCGGCAGCGTCAAATTTGTCTCCATCTGCAGCTGCATAAGCCCCATCTCGCTGGGCAACCCCGTCGCACTGGTGTTGGCGAGGCGCTTGTAAAAGGAGGCCAGGTCGCTGGGGTCTGAAGCGCTCCCAGCGATAAACCTGACGGCCCCGAGGATTGCGGCGGCGGAGGCGAGTTGGCAGCGCCAGCGCCAAACAATACGTTACTATCAAGTCACGTGATTACGTTCCGACAGGGACTTGGAGAAACGGTTAAGAGCCGACGCTTAGTAAGGGTAAGCCTGCCAAGTACTTTACGTTTCACAAAACAGCAGCGGCAGAACATCTGACACGCGACAGCTTCACCTGGTGATGGCTGACTGCAACAACCCATTTTGCTCCCCAGCGCCCGACAGCTCCGAAACGGAAAGCTGCAGAGCCGCAGCCTCAGCACCTCCGTCCCCTCCCGCTGCTAGTGATGCGGTCTCAGCCGCTCCCGCGGGTGGCACCATCTCCCGACTCGCCCGGAACAGCAGCTGCAGGCACGCCTCGCCGCCGCTGTCAGCAGCGGGCGGTGAAGGCGCTGAGCGGTAGTAGGCAGTTACAAGGCGGATATTCTTGAGGAAGAGCAGTGCGGCGGGTAGCTGGCGCCTGTGTTTGTGGTGGGGGCCGGGAGATGCAAAAACAGAACCAGGCTAAAAATGCTTGGTGATGCGCTTGCACACAGCTCCATGGGCACATGCGAGTGCTCTCCATCCAGAATCCAGAGCACTAAGACACATGCCATTTCCGCCTCATTGCGACCTCACTACAGCTGCCTCATCGTTTGTTCGGCTGTGCGCCGTACGCAAGCTCCGTACTGCGAACTAGATCCGTTAGGCCACGTCGCCAAATTTACTGCTGTCCTGAAGCATTGGCATTCCTAAACCCGGCCAGAGGGTCTCCGCACCTGAAGCTCTCTAGCAGCGCCGCCACGTCCTCCGGGCTGCACGGCGTTGTCTTGATGTCGCTCGCCGCAGCAGCCGCCGGGCCGCGCAGCGGAAAGCGGAACAGGGTGCCTGGTTCCACGGCGGCCACGACCGGTAAGACAGAGCACAGCAGAGAGGAGCCGCGAGAGAAGGGATGGAGAGTGGGGAATCGTTAAGGGACGTGAAGGGACGTGAATGGGAGGACGTCGCATCAGTGGACGTGAGGGCACGGAGCCCTGACCCCGGGCAGTCAGTCAGCAACCACAATTGCGGCCAATGGGGAAGCCCAGGGGGCCCACTAGGATGGCCGCAAATCTAGCAAACGCCCTGCGGCTCATCCCCCGCCGCTTTCTCACTCCCCCGCGCCGGCTCTCTCACTCACCCATGAACCTCTCCTGCATGTTGCAGCCCAAGTGGGTGAAGGGTGTGAAGGCGTCAGGAAACTGCTGCAGCAGCTGTGCGCGCGCAAAGGCGATCTTCAGGCCGGGTTGGGCCGCACTGACGCCCTGCAGACGACGTGGGGAAGCGAGGCGAGGCGAGGCTGAGGCGAGGCGAGGTGGAGCCGAGGGGGTATCATAGGCGAGAAAATGGGGGTAAAGCGAGCAAATAAACACGCAAGACTTTCAACCCCGCATCCCGCCGGCCCCAACCAGCCCGGCATCATACCGGCAGGTACTTGGCATGCGGGTCGAACATCACCAGGTAGTCCCCGGACACGAAGCAGGGCAGATCGGTGAAGTGGTACACGGCGTTGAAACCTAGACCGAACCGGCCAATGGAGGTGGGACGCGAGGCTTTGGAGTCCTGCAGGGAATCAGCCCCGGGGAAACACAGTCCCAGGCCAGAGCCGGCCCAAGCGCGCAGGTCGGAATTTCACGTCACATGGCAAACATGGAAAACAGAGCAGCACACGAAGCTGTTTTTTTGTGAAGCATGTGCAGCGGACAGTGCTTTTTCCGTGCGGCTTTAATGTGCGGAATGGGGCCAGGGTGCTGCAGCAGCCCGACAGGCAGCCATCTCGCTTACCTGGCCGATTCTGGAGATGTTGGCAAAGTCGGCGGGGCTGAACACCGCGTCGTTCGCCACCAGCAGCGCGGGACCCTGCAAGGAAGGTCGTGCAGGATGATAGAGGGCTGCATTGTGAATAGTGCAGCGGCAAGCCCCAGTGTAATGGCTGTTTGCAAAAACCAGTTCCAAGGTTTGTCAATGCGCGAAAACGCCGGACGTGCGCGCGCTTGGAGACAGCATCGTGGCCGTGCTGCAGATTCATCTCAACGGTTGGGAGTGTACGGGGCCATGAACCTCAGACCCCAAGGCCCTCCGAGAGGGCACGCTAAGGTGGGGTGTTTTCCCAGGCGAAAACGGCCCTTATTTAGCAGCACCTCATTCCCACCGCCGCCACGACCACGCCAGGGTCTACTTTCTTGCCTTCAGCCCCCGTGCTTGCAGGCCCCACCACCCTCGCACCCGATCTCCACCCCCCATCCCCACCTGCCTACCTGCCACACCGCCATGGCTGGTGACAAAATAGAGCTCGCGGGGTAGGTGGTGTCGTCCAGCAACAGCTCCAGGGAGGTGGCGCCCGCGTCATCCGCGTTTTGCAACAATTCCATCAACACGCCTGTGATGAAAGGGTGGGGTGGGGGAAAGACGAACCACGAACGAGTGAAGCTGCTGCCAGGGTGGGGTGGGGGGAAGTAGCACGTAAGGAGGAGTTGGGGTGGGGTGGAGGGAAAGGCCTTTCCCACACGTGTCTGGACCCCACACTTCAACTCGTGTTTGGTTCGGCGATCAACAATCCATGGTCCGGGTGCAACAGACAGAGGGCTACAAGCCCACACTCCCGCGTGGCCCACCCCTCCCCTCCATCCCAACCCCACCTACCACCCTCTGATCCCATACTTTCCCCCACCACCACCCCGTCGTCTGTGGTTCGTCTTCACCCCCCCACCACACACACACACACGCCCACGTGACATGTCCGCAAGCAAGCCACTTCCTTGTCGCGGCTTAGGCTTCTTAAAAACACTGCCGATGCCCCACCTGGTCCTTCAGGATAGTCCGCAATGATGTGCCGCAGCCGTGTGGTGAGCGCCTCACTCTGACCAAAAGCCTCCGCTCCGCCCACAGTCCCCAGCGCCATGCAGTCCGCAGAGGCAGCCAGTAGCAATCGCCGCAGCGAAGGAGTACCCAGCCGGGCGGCCACATGCGCGGAGATGCGCGGGTGAACCAGCCGCACAGACGCCGCGGAGGGCTGCGACGGCGTACGGCGCGAGGGGACCCAGCGGCGGCAGCAGAGGCAGCGGTGGCGGTGGCGGGAACACAGGTTTAAGCCCGCTGTTTCGGAGACGTGGGTTCCTCTGATGAGGTGAAGAGCACGCAGGGGCGATGAAGCAGGAGGGAGAGGGAGGACAGCAAAGCAGTGCTGTGGCCAGGCAGCGCATGGGTGGCCGGGTGGGCTTGGCACGATGCCACGGGCGCAAGCGCTCTTTTACCTGTCCCGCCAGCCAGGGTGCGTCGTTGAAGGCTAGGTCGCCAGCGCGCGCCAGCACACCGCGCTCGTCGGGCAGGTAGATGATGGCGCCCGCGGGCAAGGTCAAGTCGGCGAGGGCCTGGAAAGACGTGTACGGCACCTGGTCAGCCTCATGACGTGACTTTGAAACGTCCCCAGATTCCCTCTATTTCATTACCAAGACACCTGCTAAACATGTCTGTCTGTCCGTCTGTCTGTCTGTCGGATCTTTCCGTGTTCGCAGGCCAGCCACTGCGTACCGCCGCACCTGCGCTACTGCTACCACTTGGCCCAGTTGGACTTCCATAAGCGGCTGAGGCGGAGGGGGGGGCGGAGGGAGAGCTGGCGACGAGCTGGCCGCCGCCGCCGCCGTCGCCGCTGACACGCTGGCAGAACCGACAGCACCCGTCGCCTCGGCCATGTCCTGCAGCACGCTGCAGTACTGTACGGCAGAGAAGCCGTCCGCTGCGCCATACGACAGGAGCAAGTCCTTGAAGGGGGCCAGCTCGGCTGGCATGACGTACAGCCATGGCGAGAGGTCCAGGGAGCCCTGCGAGGTGTGTATGGCATACGGCATCCTTATCGGCTGAATTCCCCCCCCACTGTAAGCTTGCACATTCGCACCGGAGCCCTGACGCGCCGGCGGCGGGCAGCGGACAGCTCCCCAACCTCCGATATGCCCTTCCCACTGCTTGATAAGTACCGTGGTCAGCAGGCTGCTGGTGTACCGTACGCGGCGTGCACTTAGGTCACAGTGATGCTCAACGCATGTTGACCCGCCAATCCTTCCTCACCACGCAAGACACCAGACCGCCCCTTTGGACGCCGAACAGGTCGCCCCACCTTGAACGCGACCTTGCCGGCGGGCGCGAACCCGTTGCCCACCCACACGCAACGGCTTCCGTACAGCAGCCCCCTCGCCACCGGCGCCTCGTGCAGTCCCAGCTCCGCCAAGGAGCGGTACAGCAGCGGCACCACCCCCGCCAGCACCTGACTCAGCGCCGGGTCTGTCACCTGCGTGTGCATCTCCCCTGCCGGACAAGGGCATATACGACATGTGGGCCGCAAAGCCCGTGTCATTTTGGGTGCACTACGTATAAGAACATGCGGAAAGGACGCACATGCATACACGTTCCGTGGCGTCCTTTCCCCCCTTCTGCCTCAGACCCCTCAAGCCCACAGCGGCAACAACAGAGGGGACAGCCCGCTCTCCTAGGGAGCTACATCCACGCCTTGCTGACCCTCCTCCACGCAACCCTCCCTCAACCCGTTCATGGCAACCCCGCATGTGCCCCTCCTCCGCCACCCGCCATCCCCTTTCCTTGGGCCTTCCGCCAGGAGGCATATTCGTGTTCGTCTGCCTGAGGCATATTCGTGTTCGTGTCTTCGTTTACGTCCTCTCCCTGCCTATCCCGTCACTCACCCAATTGAAGCAGCTGCTGTGCCAGCACGCTGCCGCCGAGCCGACCGCTCCAGCCCAGACCCGCTGCGAGCGCCGAGGACCTGCACCCCCACAACGCAAACCAACTTTGCAGGAAAACAGAACAGAGCCACCATTCCCTCAACCTAAGCACACTTACGTCGCCTGAGCTACAACGTTATTCGACGGCGAAACTAGAGCAAGCGCGCTAAATGCATTCCGCACAATGGCGTTATATGTTGTGCAACAGTCTTGTACCATAAACCAAAAGAAACCGTAGCATTCAAAAACATCTTCGTAAAATTGTTCGCCACTGGACTCCCCGTTAAGCCAAAAGCTAAACACCCTAAACTACCAGCCCACCAACAGGCGCTCAAGCCCAAGCTGCGGTCCGTACAGGCCCAGACCCACTCCAACCCAACCCTGCCCCGCTCCCACCTGCATTCCCCATCCACAAGGAACATGCAGCTGCTACACAGCCACATGTCAGAGGGAGGTCGGATGGTGCGGGGGGCCGCCAGCCGGGGAACCGCGTGGCGCGCGGGCCAGGGCAGTCCGGGCGCGGGGGGGTCCTGCAGCACCGGGCACCACCGGATTCGCGCCAGCTCCTGCCAGAAGCTGTACATGCATGCACGCATGCAGGAACGTTACGTGTGTAAGTATAATTGTTGCAAGAGGCACACGCGTGTGTGTGCGTATAGGGTGAGACCGGGGCCGGTTGTTAATGCCGATGTGGAGCCGAGAATCATATGTCCAGCACGGCATATGGAGGGAGGAAGGGCAGCAGGCGCAGCGGGGGGTATGAGGGGGTATGAAGGGAGCGTAATGGGAGGCAGGGGGAGGACACATCAGCATTCGTGAAAGACCTTCGAAATTTTGTGACCGCGACAGAGGAGGCGACCTAGGGCTATTCACCACCGTAGCCCTGACGTACATCAGCGTTGATTAGGTGGCTACCCATGGTTGAGATGGTGTGATGCGGCACCCAACTCCCCTGCGCCCCGAAGCCGGATGTCCTGTGATGCCTTCGTCAGCCACATCCCCCAAATCTGTCCACTCGGCGTACCGGCAGCAACAGCAAACCAGCCGCTAAGGAATGTCTCTTGCTTGCAAGTCCCCCCATCCACAAATCCTACCGAGGCAATATTGTTTATGAATACCCTTCTTCGCCCAACTCCCCTGCGCTACAGCTGCATTACACTCTCACTTGTGCACCTCCGCCACCGCCGGCTGCTCCTGGGTGCCTTGTCCGAATAGCTCCCGCGCCTTGGAAAACAACCCCGCTGCAAATCTTCGCGCTCCGCCACCCGTCCCGAGGCCGGAACCTCCGCCGCTGCCGGCACCGGCGGCGCCTGTCGTACCCGCCGCCCCGACGGAGGCCGACATCGCAGGCGCGGGTGAGGCTCCCACGGGGCCCATGATGCGGCCCGCCTCCGCCTCCAAGTAAGCGAGGAGGGCCTGTGTGTATAGTGAGAAGAAGGGCGGAAGAGCTCACTAGTAGGGGGCGCCTGCAAGCCTAGATAGGGGGGGCTTTGCTTTGGTGTGCAAGTGATCGCCCAGGTGCGGTTTAACGGATGAGCTGTGCCAGAACCGATTCGGGTATAATGAAAACAATCTCCCAGGTATTATGGAAGGCTTGGTGTCTCCTCGATAATGTCCATGCCAATGCACATTTCAAACAGCACCCCACCTTGCCACGTGCAACAGCCATGTCCGAGTCCTCAGCAGCAGCAGACGTTGTGGAAGCGGCAACGGGCGGCGCCTGCGGCGCCGACGGGCGCTCCGGAGCATCCGCCGCCGCCGCCGTGGCTGTCGTTGCCGCCACCGCCGCGGCGGCAGCGGCATCCGCAATCCGCTCCACAAACCTTGCCGCCTGTAGCAGCGTGTCAAGAGTGGCTGCCGTACGCAAGCCCAACTGCTGTAGCATGTACAACACCAAGGATGCGTCGCCGGCGCCATCCTCGTCGGTGCTGCTGGCGGCGGCGGCAGCCGGCGCGCCTCCTGACGCTTCCCCACCGTTGCCGGTCGAACCACCGCCGTTGGTGGCGGCAGAAGATGCCGATCCCGCGGCCTGCAATAGCAGCGATGCTGCGGGGAAGTCCGCCTCCGGATCCAGCAGAGCGGCCAGATCTGGATTGCGTGGGTCGTACAGCTCCCCTGGCGTGTGCAGCTCGCCCTGCGCGGGTGCGGTGTGAGGCTCTTAAAGGAATCATTTAAGGTGATCCAACAGCGATGCGACCTTCCAAAGGTAGACCGCCTAAAAGCACACGGACACGTTCAGTCACTGAACCTCATTCGACCTCCCCAGCTCCCATGCCATGTACGTATACAACGCCAGAAGATAGTTTACAGAGGACTGTGATTATTAACAAAGCCTATTAAAAGCCGAACCCGGGCCTCGACAAGAAACCATGAGGCGCTGCACCTGCGTGACCAGCGCGTTGCAGCACACGTCGTGGCTTGTGGCGCGAGACTCAGTCCACACAGGCCGACGGGCCGCAATGCACCATACCTTGTTGTTGGGAACGAAGGGCACCTGCGCCAGCCATGCTCCGAAACCGCGGTCCTGAGCGCTCAGCTGCGGCAGACCACGCAGCATGTCCAGCACAGTGGCATTGCGCAGCTCACCCGGCAGCAACACCAGCCCTGGCAGCACGTGATGCCTGCACGCAAGAAGGGGGGTCAGAGGGCATTACGAATCACAAAAACCAGACGGACGGATGAGCAACGTTGGCAAGACACGGACAAGACACGAGAATACACACCAAAGGACGCAGAAGTAGCAACGGCTGCTCGCATCAGGCGGACCCACCGGAACGCCTCCGCGGCCGTGATTGCTCGTACACCCAAATACGTCACCATCAGCCGGCCCTCCGCCTCCGACGCCGCCACCACAAAGATGCTGCCGTGCAATGACCCCAGCACCCGCACATCCACACCGTGAGGGGCCAGAAAGCACGTTCCTCCGCTGCCGTGTAAGGCCATGAACACTGGTTCAGCGGCCTGCAGACCGCTGCCACCGCTGCTGCCTGCGGCGGCGGCGGCGGTGGCGGCCGCGCCGGCTCCCTTTGCCGACTCGTAGATAGGCAGAGCCGCCAGCAGCTGTAGCAGGCCCCGCGCCTCGGCTTGCGGCAGTGCCGGTTTGCCGGCGGATGTAGCGCTCCTGGAGGGACCCGACGCCGTGAGCGCCGTCAAACAGTCCTCTGTCAGCAAGATGCTGCGCAGCAGGTGCTTGTCGGCAGCAGCCAACGCAGTGACCCTCGCCGCCAGGCCAGCGGATAGCACAGGCCGCCCGCGGCCATTGCCGTCACTAGCCGGCTGTTCGCCGACGCCATCGATCGGGGGCCCCCCTCCTGCCGGCTGCGGCACAGGCGCCTGCGTTGTACGGCCGGCCTGCGGATGGTGCGTCGCCGCCGATAGGCGCTGCAATGCCGCCAGGATGCCGGGTCCGTCACATCGGTGCACATGGCCTCCTCGAAGCAGTTCCGAAACCGGCAAGTCCGGAAAGGTCTCCAGATCCACAATCTGTAGCCCAAGCTGCGTCAAGAGCTCTGCAAGCTGCGCAGCCCTGTCGGCCGCAGCCCCGACCCCGCCATCCGCTGTCGATACCACCCTGCCGCCGGCGCCTGCAGCGGCCCGCTGTACGACTTCTGCCGGCGGCAGCACAGAGATTGAACTGGCTGCGTCAGCAAAGGGCGCAAGGCGGCCGCCCAGGATAGGCAGCAGCGGCAGGCCCACGAAGCAGGGCAATGACCCGTGGGTCGCCAGCCAGCGCCACAACAGCTGCAGCCATTCCCTGCGAAACGAAAGCCAAATGGCATCGCATACGGTCAGTGCTACACAGTCAGTGCTACATAGAAGCAGCAACCACATGGCAAGAATGGGTGAAGCCCACGAGGCTGCGAGGGACAACTGCGACACCGGGAGCCGCACAGGTTTGGGACCGAAGTGAGGTGACCGACGCAAGTGGAGACGAGTCTCATCCCGTTTGTCGACCCCTGCGCGCCGTCGCGCCGCACCTGTCCACACCCGCCGCTTGGCCCGCCGGATCAATCTCCCAGTCAACAACTCGCCCGCCGGCAGCCGCGCCACCGACGGCACGCGCTGGCAGCCAGGCCGGCGGCAGCAGCTGCGGCAGCACCACCGCCGCCATGGCGAGGGAGTCCAGCTTCGCAAAGTTGAGCACCCGGGCTGCGGCTAGCGCCTCCAGCTTGGAGCGGCCCGTAGGACTCAGTTCGTTGGCGTCCACCAAGAGCCCGCCTGCATGCGCGCCACGGGACACACATGCGGTGCGGGTTGTAATCCCGAGCTCCGGACATCCAAGGCATCTGGATAAGTGGGCGACATAGCCTACCTGACGGTATAAAAAGCCACCGCGAATTTGTGACTTACACAGTCGACGAGGTATTTGCAAGCCATGGCATCTCATGGCAAGGAAACAAAACATAAATCTCATACTCCAGAGCGACACGGAAGCTGCAGTCGCCTCTTCGCAGCCGCATTCCCTATGAGTAATCATGCTGTGTGGGGGTCACTTGCATGCCCGTCGCCATAATTTCACATCCCTACCCAGCTCCATCCCTACCTGACCCAACCTAGAACACCCTCCAAAACCTCCCATGGAAAATAGAAGCGTCCCGGGGCCCCCCGCCATTCCTCTTTCCGACTCACCTGCCCGAGCCAGCAGCGTACACTCCTCAGCGGTTGGCAGGAAGCAGCTGGGGTAAGGTGCGGCCGGGTGGCCGCCTCGGTGCTGCGGAGATGACTGCTGCTGCGTCTGCGGGTGCTGCTTGCCGCCTGGCACGGCCGCGCATAGTGTGGCCGTCGTGCCGTCTAGCAGCGGCAGCAGCCGCAAGCCCACCAGCTGGGCAGCTGCGGCCGCAAATGGAGAACGGACACATAGGAAAACCCGCAAAAGGATGATACCGAGTTTGGAGAAAACACTGGCCTAGGAGGAGGCTCGGAGGTGAGAATCCTTTTGGCTCAGGGACAAAGGGCTAGGGGGCCAGAGAGTATACGCAGGGAAAGGGGCCGGGGCAAGGGGGCCAAGGGTTGCGGCAAGGGGGTAGGGCACGGAGACACGGTATACAGGGCGAACGGGGAGCGCATGACGACCTGTGTGGGGTGAGTGTGGAAGTGCGGGAGAGGGGGGATGCCAACGGAAGACGAAGACCGTACGGTGGTGCAGACCACCGGCGGCGGGCACATGTCACATGTGTGGCTGCCTGCGAACGCGCGGTATGCCGGCACCTACAGCACTGCAATGGTGCGATGCGCACCTACCCGCTTGGGCAGCTTGCGGACCAGCTGCAGCAGCTGCAGCAGCAGTAGCTCCTGTTGGTGTCGCCCCCACAGCCGACGCCGGAGATGGCGGAGACCATAATGCCCCAGATGCTGCCACTGGCGACAGCGACGGCGTTGGCGTCGCCGTTATGTACGGCATCAGGTCGCTCAGGCAGTAGTCCAGCAGCAGGGGCGCATGAGCGCGGAGGGCAGCATCCGCAGAGGGCTCCGAAACCGCTGCCCGCTTCGCCGCCGCAAGCAGCGCTTGGCGGGCCAACGCAGGCGAGCAAACGCGCGGCTTGGGTGCCTGCGCCCCAGCATCAGTCCCGGATACCCAGCCAGCCAGCCACGCAACAGGCAGCACGGAAGCAGCGAAGGGAGAATCAGTTAAGGCAGATGCTGACGTGCAGCCCGCTCTGAGGCTCCAGCATGATCTGCCAGCACCTGCCGTTATATATGCACAGCCCATGCACACGTCGTACAATTGCCGTACACCAATGTACCATGCAACGCATTAGTACGCACCATGTGTCGCAACATCAGCTGCCCCACGCCCGGCGGCAGCTCCAGCAGCGGCAGCTCCGCCACCTCCACCAGCGCCGCCGCCAGCGGCGGGCTGGCCGCCACGACCTGGTCTCGGAGCACCCCCGATCGAGGCGCCACCCAACAGCCCCCTCGGATAGTGCTCCAGCACAGCGCCATGTCGGCTACGCGGCGGAAGCTGTGCCGAGAGACGGGATGACGGGGGAACGGACATGATGGGACGTGCAGAAGGCGCTAGGAGGACGAGGTTGGATCTTGTTCAGGCGCCTGGGGCGCAGCCTTAAAGACTGCATGCGCTAGGACTACGATGATGGATACGAAATACAAGTGGTAACGACGTGGGCGATAGACAGGTGCGGGACTAACGCACTAATGGCATCAATATGGCATCCTAGGGAGGATGAGGCTCGATGGAATCCATGTAAGACATTCAGCAGGGCTACATATGTGTGTGCTACGCCTTGAGTTCGGATACCCTTTAAAGGTGGCTTCGGTAATTCAATGCACTGTCAGCGCACTAACGGGTCGTACTCAACGACCTCAACAGAAACGGCCAACCTAAATGACCAAAACTGATTTCCCCAACTGACTTCCAGTTCTTTCTCCTGTGCATGTCGCCCCCACGAAGTATGTTGACAACTCACAACTCCTCCAGGAGCGACTGCCAAGGCTGCGCCACATCCGCCGCCGGCCACAGCCTGTCGTACGCCTCTCCGTGCCCCAGCACGGCTGCCGCTGCCGTCAGCGCCGCCACGTATGCGGGTGCGATGACCCGCAGCAGCAGCTGGATGTTCCACTGCGCGCGCCGTGCACCGCTGCCGGTCATGTCCTCGCCGTACCTGCATTGCCGTACAGTGACAGCGGCCCACTCAACCCATTATGCGTGTGGTTTCAACGGCAGCATTTCGGCGGCACTGTCGCAGGGACGTATCTGTGTCACAGTAAAACGTGCAAGTCTTTGCAACCATGGGGGTAAATCTCCACTGATCTCCACTGAGATCCAGGACGACGCGGTGTTCAGCCGACCTTGCTGGGTGGGCTGCGCTGGCTAGTCAGCAACCCGGTCAAGGGTACGTCCGCCCACCCGGCCGCCCACAGCTGCCTTCACCCAAGCTGCTCCAACGCCCGTCCCTTACGCCCCCTAACAGATAGATTTACATGTTCTCCAGCCTGATATCCGATTGCTGCCCAAATATGCCTCCCACGTGCCAACCTCATCCGCACATAACATACATATATATATAACATACGTGTATATATGTGTATATATGTGTGTATCTCCTCTCACCAGATGTCTCGGCGGTTACTGGACAGCTCAAAGTAGCCGTTGACATGGACCGGCAACCCCGTGCGGATGGGCAGCGGCAGGAAGCAAAAGGCGCGGCCGTCTTCCAGCTGGCCCGCTGCCGCCGCCGCCGCCGCGTCGCCGCCGCCGCCGGCCGCACCCGCCACCGTCGTCACATCTGCCGCCACCGCGCCCCATGCTACTACCGCGCCAAACAGCTTCGACAGCTGCTCCGCCATCTCCGCTGCTTCCCCGCCGCCGCGCATCTGCGAAATGATGTACGACCGGCGCTCCGGCCGCCGTACGACGGCGCCGATGCCGCCGCCGCCGTCGTGCCACTCGCGCAGGAGCTCCAGTCGATAGCTAGCGAGTACTTCCGGCAGCGGGACTCGGATCCCGCCGCCGCCACTAGCCGCCTGATCTACGTTCTGCTGGGATGGACGGTCTCTGCTGACGCGTGCGAAGAGGCCTCGCTCCCAGGCTACCTCCCTGGAGAGGTTGCTGACGTAGCAAGAGAACAAGATATGTGGCGCGGCTGCGTCGGGGGCCCATTCGTGGATCTGAAAGGGAGACGGGGGAGGTAGAGGTCAGCTGGCGGATGGCTGAAAAAAGTCACCACGTAGAGATTGCCGTGCAGTGTGCAGTAACCTAACCGCTGTACATCGCTTTCCCATGTCTACCCGCTCACCCATATTTCGCATTGGGACGCCTTGAGACTCATATGCCCCTCCCCAAGCCTCGCATCCCGGGCCGGCCATCAGCCGCTGTCGTACCTCTACTCGGGAGATGTGCTTGAGGAACAACAGGATTTGAAAGGACTCGGTCGCCAGCTGCTCCAACAGCGTGCGGATGGACTCGATTGTGTAGATCTGCATGCATGGGTTCAAGTTCAATGTTTATTCATAATTCTGAATTCTGAATTTTGTTCATTTTTTATTCATTCCTTTTTGAGTTATTCATGCCCCGAGGAGCGCCCCCTAACCCCCTCCAGGCAGTGCGGGGGATGCCCTGATGGTTTCGTCGTATCTTACTTCCCACGTCCCGATTACTTCGAATCATCCTCGCGAGCTCACCTGCTTCGAAATGGTGCTCGCCTCAGCCAACTCCGCAGAGCGCAAAGGGAAGCGGAACAACGTTCCGGACCAGGGGCCCAGAGATCCAGACCCGCCGCCGCTGACAGCGCCACCCCCTCCTGCACCCAATGTACAGCCAAACGCGCCTGCGTACGGCGCCACCTGGTCCGCGTACTGCGCCGCGACATCGCCGTACTGTACGAAGTCAATGCGCTTGCCTACAGGAGGTGTGTACCCCGCGGCCCCAATGAGAACAAGGTTACAAAACCCGAGGAAGGTGGACCAGCACCGTGTCAAAGATGGCAGTCCGAATTCCGGCATCGGTGCGAGTGATGAGAAACGAAATGAACGCGACCTATCCAACCTCCTTCCGGAAGACATAGACGCCCCAATAGAACTATCCGTATGTGAACTGCACGATCTCCATAACAATCCTAACGTCGAACCCGAAACGGGTCCAAAAGACAACGCGCTTCGTCAGTGTTAGATCCTTTCTGACGTGCTGCGAATCGGTGTGCCGCAAGGTGCCCAGCGGCGCCAACACCCTCCCCACCCCCTTCAACCCATTTGCCATGTCATGCCACATCTCACCCGGATTCGTGGAGGAGATGTTGGGCAAGTGCCTGCGCAAGAAACCAACGGATTTCGGAGTCTTAAGCTGTACCCTGATGCGCCAGGACCCCATGGCCCCATGTCTAGGTGCTGTGGCGCCTAGGGTGAAAGCATGTGAGGGTGTACGCGCCATCACATTCTTTACAACCCGGCCCGATAGCCGAAGAAACTCTACACCACAGACCAAAGCCACCGCGCCGGTGCTTCTCATTCCTCCAGAACCCCTTCCCCAACCCCACATCCATCAACCTGCTCCCTCCCCTCCTACGGACATCCTCGGGCACCCCTCATGTACCTGCAGTGCGGGTCAAAGATGACCAGGTGACGGCCCGACACGAAGCTGGGCACATCCGTCAGGTGGTAGCAAGAGTTGAAACCCACTCTGGGAAGGGAGGGAGGAAAGTCGCAAGGTGGAAACGGCAAGAAAAACGGAACTGTCGCCGACTATACGGACACTACTGGGTGAGGGAGGGAGCCAAGGGAGCCATGCGACAACCCACGAACACACGAACATGAGCACGGGCTGAGTTGGGTCCAGCGTAGGTTGGTCCACAGCCTTGGAAAAACCTCTCAAGGCGCTGAATAAGCGGGAGCGGACAGCCCCCAATGTCGCAGCGCGCCAGGGCGTCCATCTCTGCCGTTGCGACGTTAACCACACGCCTCACCCGAATCTGCCGGTCTTGCCCTCCTCGTCCTTCTTCTTGCTGTCCCCGATGCGGCTGATAGACTCCAGGTCGCGATCGCTAAAGACCCCGTCATTAAAGGCCAGCAAAGCGGGACCCTGGAACGGAGCCATGGCCGGAGATAACAGCGAGCCTGTGCAGGGTGGGTGCATTGGGGAAGCAGGAGACTCAGGCTAAAGTTGTCCGGACGGAGCCGGTGGAGAGGCAGGAGGGATGGCTCTGTGGAAAGGATGTAGCAGGTATTTCAGATCGCAGCTCGCCTAGCCTGCTGTACAGATGGCTGGACGCGTGTCCTCCAAAACACCCTCTGCCCAGGCGCGCTACTACGTCTCCGCTTCCCTAAGACAGATGATGCAGCAGCAGGAGCAGCATCGCCACCACGTACGTGTTCCATGCTGCCGGCAGTCCAAACAGAACTTGATGCAGGTAGCCCGCGCGTCGTCGGCGTTCTGCGATGTGGGTCACGATGCAGTGAGATGCCGTGATGCCGCACGTCGCTATGCCCGATCTGGGTCACGTGCGTTCCAATGGTGGGATGATTATATTGCCCCATGCGGGTCATCTAAAATCCGATTTGGGTCGCACTGACACATACGGGTCAAGGGTTTCTGTTTTCATCTAGGACAACAGAATGATGTTTTAGATGTCTGATTTGGGTAACAGAAGCTCGGTGTGCCCGATATGGAGGTCAGGAACTACATGGCAGTGATCGGGACCGGGCACGCGTTGACGCGAAATAGCTGGCAGCCGGGGTTCTGGTGGACCGGAAAGGTATGCATGGTATGGTAGCAAACTCTCGTTTCCCAGCGTTGGTAAATTGATAGGGCCAAAGTGAACACAACCATAACCGAAGAAGCCACGCAAAGGCCGGGAGAGCAGGCACATGGAGCTGCGGGGAAAAGGTTTCAGCGGAGGCGCGATGTGCAGGTGCAGTAGGCAGTTGGCTTTTGCAGCGTAGCTGCTACACGCTTGTTAAAACGGGCCGACCGCGAATGTATGAAGATGGGGCAGGGGGTCGCCGATATGGGATTTCCTGTATTAGCTGATTGGGACTGCATATCGACGCAACGCGGCGCAATCTCACCCTACCCTTATGAGGGGCCCTTGGACGTAAAAACCAAGTGTTGGGTGGTATCCCCACAATGAAAGCGTACCTGCACAAGCTCTTTGAGGATAGAGGTCCCCTCGGGATAGTTGAGTAAAATTTCCCGGATTCGGGCCGTTAGGTCGACCTTCTGGCCGAAGTCCTGCCATGCCTCCACACTCATCCTGCTGTAGTTTGCCCTTTATCAAATCATGGAATTCCTAGAATACATCGGGGTATTTGACTACCCGGTTCCCGCGTTGACAACGCGATACCAGCCAAGGGGATCTACTGCGAAAGGTACGCTAGGCCTGCAAACCACAGGCCTGACAAACCAAAGAGAACGAATGTACATAATAAGCAAAAATGATTTGATGGCGGAACGAGAGGTATCAGCTAGGGCTCCATCCACGCGACGTAGTACGGCAGGTACGGGGAACAATTTCATCGCTTCTCGTTGTGGAGTTCCGTGAGAAAGATGCGGAAGCTCCTCGCGTACAACGCCAACGTTTTGGGAGGAGTTGTTCCCAAGTTATATAGTTACCGCTGTTTGTCTACAATGCTTTGACCTAGCGGCAAGCAATTTACCTACGGAAGACCAGCAATTTGCATTTTTTGGATGGGCTGCGCTGCAAGTGTGTAAGTGATTGTTGCCGGTGTGTTTAAGGCTTTGTTAGCTTTGGAATGCCTTTGCGCGGTGTGGAAGTATGAAACAGTTTCCCTGGCAGACTCATAGAGTTGCTTTAGGCATCATCATTATCTTCTTCCTGCCATGCTCGACTTGCGTTCTGGTTAGGTCAATTTTACGGGCTGCCTGGAGGGAAAAGATTGTGCTTTTCAAGTCGCATGCTAACAGCTCCGTTGAACCGTCTGATCACAACTGCATTGTCTTGAAGGGCTGTTTAACCCTTGGCGGCGACATGACGAGGCAGAACCCAAAACCTAACCGTTAGTTGACCTTTTGACTACTCGCTGACGGGTATGAGCGCTCTGGCACACCAGATGCAGCATGACGTAATGCCTTCACAATATTATCTAGTACACATAGAGAGCCGGAAGCGATTTGGTTGTTGTTCTGACCTGCTGATCATCCCTACGTACGTGTATCCTCCAAACGCCAAACCTCCCTCTTATGACAGCTTAACAATATAATGTTTTAACATGTTATATATAACCCAAACGACCCCAACCGGCAGTGCTGGCCCTGGTCTTCTGGCTGCCTGTGCCAAACCCAGCCTGGCCGGAATCCCCACCTCTAATCCCCTGGGGGCCCTGGACCGGCAGAGCAGCTCTTCAAGCAGCACTAGCAGCAGCAGCACCATCAACAGCAATCGAATTGAAGGAGCTGCTGTCCCAAGCCCTTTCCTGGAGTACTACACCCTAGCGTCACTCTATGGCAAGGAAGTCTTTGGGCCGTTTTTGAAGCTCCACAGCTACGATCCAGACACTGGAAGCCTTCAGCTTTCAGTACTTGTAATATGTACGGAAGGTATGCTGAAGGCATACCCGGGCAAGCTGCATGTAAGCTGGTGGGAGTTTTCGGAGGGTGAGCAGCCGAACGGGCCCGCGAGCACCAAATACAGAGGGAACGGTGCCGGAACTGGCGCTGTAGAATTGGTGTCGGAGCTTGGTCCCGCAGCCAACCTTTCGAAGGAAGAGGAAGTCGTCAGCCTTGTGGGTAAGACCAAAAGCGCTGTTCAAGCGTGGTGTGATGACGGCGGCGGCGGCAAAAGCGGTAGCGGCAGCGGAAGCATGCGCAGCTGCGAGCAAAACGGCCGCCAACACCAGCAGCATCACAGGCAGGAGCAGCAGGAACAGCAGCCGCAATACGAAGAGCAGCAGCAGCAGCAGCCAGCGGAGAGGGTGATGCCAATGAAGGCGGAGGTGGCCCCAGGCGAGCTGTTGTTCTCCTGGAGGAATTGGCAGTTCTGGAGATTTCAGCTGGGCACAACGTGCGGACAGGCGTCCAAGCGGCTGGAATACCAGGTAAGCTCTAGGGCAGATGCTTTTGTCGTAACACGTTGCTCGGCACGAGCTCATCATACTGCAACTCAACTGCCTAAGGTGCTAAGCCCTCCAAGCATGATTTAACCTCCGTGGTAAAGTGTGTTACCTGGGGTTGTATCTGTGCGCATGTAGGTCAGTCTAGTACCTGGGTGTTCGCACTCCATTGCTGTACCCGCCTTGGACGAGCCCTGGCGCATGGCGTTCTTCTCCTGCAACGGCCTGGACGCGAGCGACTGTGCCCACACGTTCAAGGGGATGGAGGGGGCCGGGCTGGCGCTGTGGCAGGACGTTGCTCGGCGCCACGAGGAGCGGCCCTTCCATTTGCTGCTTGGAGGTGGGTGGTTGGGTTCGGTGGAGCGCAGGGCGGAAAAGAGGATGAAGGGCGGAGGGGTTTATAGGAAAGTGTAGAGTGTCGGCCCCTCTTCAATGGTCGGGGGAGTTGAGGAGGGAAGTGGAGGAAGAGGGGCTCCCTGGTGCCGTAATACAAGCAAGCTATGCCAATATCGAAGCATATCCGTCCTTGCGAAAATCTACTTGATTTTCAAGTATTGTTCTGGCCTTGGTAAAACTGGATTTTATGAGGATGGGCCGCGCATTGCATGGGGGAACCTTGGCTGGGAGCTGGACGAAGGCGCCGTGGCGGGGGTGCCACTGAGGTGGGTTCGAGGTCGAGCGGTATGCTGGCTGTGTGGCGCCTGGCGCAGCGCGGCAGGGTTGAGGGCTGGGGGCCCTGTTTGTCCCACGCACCACGTCCCTGGCCTAGGGCTTTCTGCTGCTCCTGCTGTTCCTCCCGACAGGGGGCGACCAGCTATATAACGACGGGGTGTTCAAGGTGAGGACGTGATAGGTCAGAACTTGCCTTTGCAGGCGGCAGCGGGTGCTGGCTGTGGCCCGTAGTGGCGGCTTGGGTTCCGCAGGAGTTGAATAATCCGGCAGGGCCGGCAACTCGCAGGACGATTTTGTTGGATAGCGCATAAGGCAGAATACAGGCCAAGCCGTCGCATGTCTGTGGCTGGTGAGACATTCGCGGTTGCTGATGCGATAAGTTGTACCGCTGGGCGCCTGGCTAAAGGGGTGTTGCTCGAAGCCCTTGCGTGTGCTTAGGTGCAAGCCACTCCATTCTCCACTCTCGTTCACCGCGTATTCTAGGACCTAGTCGGAAGACAGGGATTTCTCTCGTCGGGATAAAAACATGCGACCGCGGGTGAAGTTTCTACACCACTGGCTTTAGCACCGCATGCATACGGTGCCTTGTAATGATCGAGTGGATCGCAGCCCTAGCGAAAAAACCTGCCTGTCTACATGTCGCCTACATCGGCGGTGGTTGTGGGGAATTTTCGAGCTACCTGGTGTGGTCGTGCGATATGTGATGTGGTGCGATGCCGTGCCTCAGGGCCCGTTGCTCGAGGGCTGGGACAAAACGGAGGACGACAAGGACACGGCGGCGAAGGCGTCCATCCCCTTCAGCGACGCTATCGCCGACGAGGTGCAAGAGTTCTACTTCAGCCATTACGCGGCGCACTGGTCGCAGGTGCCGGGGAAAACAGATGGCGGGGAAACGTCCCGGCGGAAGCGCCCCGTGGGTCCTACCTGGCTGTGCCCTGATGATTGGCTTATTGCGGAGATAAGCCAGGATATGCAGGATTACCGCTAGCTGAGGTCGAATGCTGATGCTGCTGATGCTGATGCTGACGTTTTCCTTGCCGGTCCTTTCCACGGGTTTTCTGCTGCCCTACAGCCCTCCTACGCCAAGCTATTCGCATGTGTCCCCGCCTTCAGCGTCTGGGACGACCATGACATTGTCGGTAAGTTTGCATTTGCGTGCCTTTAGTTTTTTTCCGGGGGAGAAGGCCGGATGCCGCTTTATAATCAACGGCCAAGCAGGTTGTTACAGACGCAACGGCATCCACGTGTCCTATCTTTTCGTCATGCTTGCTATTCGTACCATTCCAGAGTACCGTATTACTTGCAAGCAATTGTTCTAGTTATTTTGTGACACACGTGTTTTTGATTTTTCTGGCCCGCAGACGGTTGGGGTTCCTACCACGACGTCGTCCAGAACTCGGCCATCATGCAGGGTCTGTTTCGTGTTGCCCAGCTCTTCTACCTCCTATTCCAACAGTAGGTGGCCGGTCGTGTAGATTAGGGACCTAGCTGGGGGGAAGAAGAGGTTGTGCAAACGTCAGGGAGCAGCCCTTGTTGTGGTGTTGGCAACTGCTGCAGTCCTGATTCGGTTGCTGTTGTAGTCCCGAGGTGAGGAATCCAGGTGGGATTTGCTCCTCCCTCCCCGGCTCCAGCCATACCACACCCGATCGGCTCCTCCTCTCCGGCGACGGCGACGGAGCCGGTGGCAGCGGAGCCAGCGGGGCCGGCCCCTGGTGCTGCACGGCGACGAATCCCAGCTGCACGCTTCTGCGCCTTGGAGCCTCTGTGGCGCTGCTGGCGCCCGATGCACGCAGCTTCCGTAGCCAGGCCCGGATGTTGCCACCCGGCTGGTTCACGTCGGTTTCGGAGCGGCTGAGGGCGCTGCCGTCTTGTGTACAGCACGTGATGGTGTTGCTTGGAGGCCCGGTGGTGTACCCGCGGCTGCCGGTGCAGGATGCGATGCAGGTGGGGCCTGGGGGGAGGGAGAGAAGGTGCGGCGCGCGGACCGGGGGCCGATTGGGATGATTGGCACTTGTCAGGGTGCTGCAGATGGCCGCCCTTGTGGGCGTGGGTGCAGGTGTGGTGGCGGCAGTGGATAGGAGCAGGGGGAGAGGATAGGGCGCATGGAAGACGACCGGTTGTCAAGATAGGGGATAGGAGCGGCCGCTTGGCCTGCGTGCTCCAGCAACCTCAGCATTCGCGCCGCCGGGGCCCCTCCTGACCCTCTGACTGCTCGTTCCCCTTTCCCTTTATCTCTGGATACTTGGCCCCGTACTTCCTGGCATGCGGCGTCTCTTGCCCACCTGCAGAAGCTGGACGACCTTTTCACGGGCGACACACTGATCAGCGTCATCATGCAGAAGACGGGGCTGTCGGCCAAGGTAGGTGGTGGGGTGCGTGGGTGTGTGGATGCCCATGCCTTTGGCGACGCGACGTCTACAGCATCGGGCTGCAGGGGATGACAAGAAGCTTTTCACCACAATTCGGCGGCGCTGCCAGGGCGCCGGTGCGCCCTTCTTGACGACCACCACCACCACCACCACCATGTAGTTGAACCATCACCTTCGCTTATATTGCCTTTTTGTTGCCTGATTTGGCCGCCATCTTCCAGGTCAATATGCGCTTCGGGATGCTGGCTCACCTGGACGACGTCATCGACCAGTGGTCTGCCAGGCAGCATATAAGGGAGCGGGATCAGCTGCTGGAGGGCCTTATGGTGAGAGGCGATCTTTTGCATCCGTACCTTCCAGCACCACAGCTCTTTAATTACCTGAATGGCCAGGACGCCTTCCATGACGGCCCTTCCTTCCCCTTGAACCACGACCTCCTGACGGTGGTGTCCCCCTCAGGCGCTGGCGGAGGCGGAGGGCCTCCGCTTCACGGTGCTCAGCGGCGACGTGCACTGCGCCGGGTACGGCATGCTGCATAGCCGCCGCGGGGAGGGCCTGGCGGAGAGCGACTTCGGGGACATGCCTGTACCTAGCGAAGCCGCACGTGCAGCCGACCCGCGGTTCATCCCGCAGATCATTAGCTCCGCCATCGTCAACGTGCCGCCACCGGCCCCGCTGCTGAAGCTGCTGTGCCTGGCGGGGCGCAATCCGCGGCCCGTGCTGAAGGTTTGTGATTCCCTCCAGGGGGGACTTATGTCTTTATAAAGTTGTGCATGCGCATGCACCACCCCTCCCCATCGGGCCCCCTCGCTTGTGCGTCCCTGGTTCGCCGTCTCCTTTCTTGGACACTGCTTCCTAAACCGTCAAGTCATCCAACAACTTCATCCAATAATCCATAACATACTCAACTGCATTCAGTCATTTTCACCTGCCCTCTTATTCATCCATCATCCACTTAACCAGACGTCCAGCCAGCCAGTCCAGCTCCATCGCTGTTCTGTTTCGCGGCCCCTCCCCGTCCAGGGCTGTGTAGAGCGCATGGTGCCGCTGTTTGGCCCGGAGGATGACGTGGACAGCTTGGTGATGGGGCGGCGCAACTGGTGAGCGTACCTGGGTAGGGCCCTTTGGCTCTCGAACTTTGCCACCTTGTGAAGGGCCGACCGTGCGTGCTGCAAGTACAGAGAACGCGTGGGTTCCTGAAGTTGATTCGTCTCACGGACACCATACCGTGTGTGTTGGTTGTTGGCGAGAGGTGAAGGCCGTTATCGCGTTTTCGCTTCCCGGCCCGGGCCGCGGCCTGTTTTGCCTCCCGGCTGGCTCCTGCTTGCGGCTGTTGTCGCCATTCCCCTGCCTCGTGTCGTCGTGCGGGAAGCCGCCGCGGCGGCTTCATTGCGCCTGACGTGACTGTCTGCCCGCACGGCCCGCCTGGGTGCGCAGGTGCGAAGCCACGCTCGGCGGTCCCCGCGGCCACCTGACCTTCTCTTGGCGCTGCGAGAGGGAGCTGGGCAAGGGAGAGGTGCGAGCAAGGCAGCCTGAGGCTTCCCCGACGTGCAAGACATGTGTCGTGACGCCGTGTAAAACGCTTAGTGGCGGCTGTTAGCGAGGGCCTTTCCACATATGTTTGTAGCTTACGTGATGTAACCCTTTGAGTCTTGAGGATATAATGAAGTCTTCAGGTGTGTATATGTATATTTGTACGTATACACGTATATGTATATGTATGGCGGTGCGCGTGAGCAAGGATGTGCGTGTGTGGCCCGGGGTAGAGGGAAGGGGCGAGGGAGGGGAAGGGGAAGGGGAATGATAGGGCCACAGCGAAGCGGTGGTGATGCCGATCCGATGTCGGGGAGAGTCATGAGGGAGAAGGGGCCGTCCCACTCCCAAGGTTTACATGTCGGTCGCATCAAGATGTATGCAACAGCAGCGACACCGCGTTACTGCATCCACCACAGCTTCTGGAGAAGCCTTTCCTGCTATCCTTCCCGGCAATTCTCCTGCTGCTCAAGACATACAACCTGCATGTTATTACTCGCTTCCGCGTTGCGTTTCTACGCGTAAGTGCCGTTACCTCCTACACCACCTGACACTCCGCACGTGGCGCACGCAGGTGGACGTGTTCACCGTGGAGGTTCCCCCGCTGAGGAGAGGCAGCTGCTGGCAGGAGTAAGCTACAGGTCCGCATCATCCCCCGCATCATCCCTCAATCATCATCACCAACCCCCATATGATGCTCCCGTGAGCTTCAGGACAGGCATTTCCCTGCCCAGCACCACGCAAAAGTGCACGGGCTGTGACCTCCTGAGTCGCTTCTGTTGTTGCACTACCGTCAGAGCTCCGGGTGCGGTACCTGCCAGGGGACCAGGCCTGTCGCGGAGGCTTCGTGGCTCAACTGACGGGCAGCTGCGACTGCCTGGCTTGGCGGCCACGCGTTTGAGCGTATTCCTCTGGGGGTCACCACCTTCGGGCGGGGCCCGCTCGTTCACAACGCCTGGTTCGACCCGGAAAAACTCGTTATCTTGACTTGCCAGGAATTTTGATTTTTTCACACTTGGAAAACGAATTGTTGGCATTGCCCTTTCGGCTGCACTGCTGCTCAGCATTCACGCGAACTGATGTTTCTTGTTTGCGATTGAAGCAGCTTTGTTGAGGTCTTGAGCATCGAACCTATGCATGCCGTGATGATTAGGCGATTCATTAATTGTGCCAGGGGTGTTGACCGTCCGCCCGTTGATTTCCTGTGAACCAAACCAAAGATGCCTTCCTTGACTCATTACAACGACAGTGGGCCACGGTCGTCAAATTGCACATGGCAAATGTGCTGCTGCAGGGATGTTGAATATTCACGCTGGAGTTGGTGGTTGGTACGAAACCTGGTGATTAATTGCCACATTTACCAAATATGTTAGCCTGAAGTATTGGGGGGAGTGGCTGAGGAGTTTTATTCGGTTATTCGGTTATGGCGAAATAACCTGCGACGGCATGGAACATTTCCTTCAGGTCAGATGGGCTGTTTGCTTCCATGCAAGCCCACATGCCCATCCACATCTCAGGACCCCGGCCATCAGCCGCCTTGTCATCAACACCATAAATGGGTCCATCCTATGTGTGTGTCTTTGTTTAGTGAGTTGCCATGAGACCCTACCATGGCTGCTGTGCTTGCTACCGTGTGCTACCATGTATTATGGAAGGATAACACCGCTGACTGCCTGCTTGGTTCTCAGGAGGCAAATTTAGCTTGGCCAGTTGTTGCAGCTCATTGAAGCGGGAAGCCTCGACACCAGTGTGCGGTAGGTGCGGTCGTGTCCCCTACCACCACAACCAAGGCCCTTCGGTGGCGTCCACCACTATTTGTTTTCCTTCCCTGCGGATAAGGAATGCCAGCAGTGAGGCCCGTGGACAGTCCGGAGCATTCGTGAATAGTCGTATTCATGGGCGACCGTAGACCACGTCGTACCTCGTCTGCAAGGACAGCAGCTCCAAAAGTGTACCTCCGCAGGTGTACCGGCTGGCTGAAGTGGGTTCCTTCCGTTACGTTCCCAGGCTTGTGCGTTCCCGGTTCCTTTTCTTGACTTTATTGACTTTCCTGCGGGTAGATCGCTGGATGTCTACAAGGACGCAAGGATGACACGTGCAGGCGGACTCCTGACTCCTGGCGAGGATTGCCATCTCTACACTACACAAACTGCCCGGACTTGCCCGCCTCGTCTGCTGTAGATAATGAATGACGTGGCAGTAGGCAGTGTTGTCTGCGGTGTTGTCTGCGGTCCTCACGAAGTGTGTCGTGAATTGGTTTGTCGTCAAGCAAGAGCGGTAGCGACGGTGGTAAAGCAGGGGCAACGTTTTCTGTGGATACGTTTTCTTGAAGCATGCATCCTTTTGCATGCATTTCAGAAGGTTCAGGCTATTTCCGGTTCATCCTGGAAATCCAGCCATTCATGCATGATTGAACTTGCTGTGGAGTATTTTTGCATAAAGCGATGCTAATTGCTGCGTTAGCACACGAATGAGCTTTCACAGCACACTACACAGCGCAGCACGAGGGGGTCCGTGCGTGGCGTGTTTTCACGTGTAAGGGTGTGCATGGGGACGCCTCGCTCATTGTGAGGCGCATAAGAGTAGATGCCGGGCAACTGAAGATGCGCTTGTAACGATACGGGCCGTTCAGGGCCTTACCTTTTTTATGGGTGGCCTCGGTTTGACAAAGTGCAAATGAGATTGTTACAGCTCCTTGATTATTTGACACGCAGGTTAAGGCGAGGGCCGGCGGAAGCTTGGCCAGACCCAGTCCAGGGGCCCCTGCTGGCCAATGAGTCACTTGGTTTCATCCGAAAATTCCCGCTTCGCTGGAGTAAGCGATCCCTAATCTCAAGTATAATGCAGACGATTACAGCCAGCCGCATCCCCATTTCCGGGCCCAGTATAACTTTGTCTAGTCTTGTCCCGCCGTCCCGAAGAAACCTGCTCAGTGCAGAACCCTGAATTCAAGCATCAGTTTGTGAGGACTTGTGTTGTCAAAGCATCTGCTCCGGCTCCTAAGTTATTTCGTCTATGTAGACACGTTTTGGATACAGAATCTTGAGCTTGTAACGCCCAAACGCGCCAAGAGGCTCATGTGGACATCGTACCGGAACTCCCGAAAACAGAAATAGAGATCCCGAAGCCGACCGGCTTGCAGAAATATTATCATACGCCGTATACGAAAGGTGTTATGCGGCCCGAAGGGCCGCCCGACGACCTAAGTCCGGGGTCAATGATTTTCAGAATGTCAAACTATTGCAAAGAATGCATTTTCAATTTCATTCCGCGGCCCTGCAACAAAATTGTACTGGAAGACAGAAACAGATCCGTTCCCGAAACCAGAAATACCCCGTTTGCCGTTGTCTGCTGGCGAGCTGTGACTTATTTCGTTAAACCGTCTCGTTGGGCTTGCCGTACCTCATGAGTTACTTAATGATCGCTATTGATGTCCAATCGGGACAACAATCAATTAGAGACATGCAATGATTTGGTGACGAACAATAAATTGTGTAAACTGATGCAGAACATGCAGAAGTGCCTCTCGTCGACTACTTGTGTGCCTGAAGTAGCGCAGGAGACCAGCCAGTAGGATTTCTCCTATTGTGAGCTACTGAGCTGGCGATTAGCTGGCGACAAGAGCTTACGGTAGGCTACCGTCCATGGTTTTGCTAAACTTCGGAGTGCGTGTAGTATCCAAGATCCATTTTATTGGTATTGGACAGATAATTGCGTTTCACGCAAAGCACGTTTTGCGTAGTCGATCCGCAGCCGTCCGGTCCTTGTGCACCCACGAGAACGTAGTCCCTAGAACATAGCCCCGTCCGAAATCCTTACTTGTTTTTCATTCGTTTACATGATGTCATATGATCCATTATATTTAGCTCAGCTAAGGGCTTGAGGCCTGCGGCTGCTGTATATAGGGTTCAAAAGAAACGGGGCTTAGCACAAAGATTCCGTTTAACATCACAACGTTGTTGCTCACACACAGGAGTACCCGCTTCGGCCCGGCGCGTGGTCTTTTTCTATGGACATTTATCGCATCCAGGACCCACCTCAAACCCTTGGCTATGGACTGCATCACCGCGGCAACCCCTGATCTCCTGCCCTCTCCCTCCTCCGTTCTTTCCGCTTGCGCAAAAGGCCCGCGAACGGCCCGACAGGCTCACATTCCGAGGGTTGCCCCCTTACCGT